ATCACTTCAGCAGTAGCTAATTAGGATTACAATTGTTGCGAGCACTCTGGAGTCTGCAGCATTAGGACATCAACGGTTGCAGGCTTGCAGCTTGAGCCTTGATTTACCGTAAAACCTGTTCAGAATCAATGCACCTTCGCCGCAGCTTCTGATGACGTCTACTTCAAGTGTTATCGGTCGCTTCTTGACCGTTACCCCCAGGTTTGGAAAGCCGTAACTTATAGCCAACTGCCGACATGAACCTGCTGCCGGTTAACATTTCACCAAGTGTAGCAGGTGCGAGTTTGAGGTACGGTAGGTACCTACGGTAGTAGCGTGCGCAAGGTACCTAGGTAGGTACCTACCTACAGGCTACCGTGGTACCGTAGCTCCCTACAGGCTAGGTACCTGTAGGCTGTAGGTAGCCTGTAGGTACTGTAGTACAATAGGTAGCTACCGTAGCTTAGGAGTACTTGGAAGTTGGCTGTGACCTTGCAGTTGTGGACATCTACAGCCTCAGCCTCAGGCGTACTCAACTTTCAGGCGGAGCCTCAGCTTCAGCAGGCCCATGCAGGGAGGTGTCGCTGCAGCTCCTGCCTCCGCCACTGGTTTTCAGGACCAAGGCGCTCCTAGGCTGCCACTATTTATCCACTTGATCAAACCTCAAAGTAGTATGCAGTTTAGATCAGGCATCGGCTTTGCACGCTTATAACAATCTGTCAGCTAGAGCAAGCAACCCTGCAACACAGTTGGGCACTTGAAGGCCTGCTGGTGTGCCTGCTTGGGCTGCAGTTTCGTGTTTGCTTTTAGCCATGGACGCCGATCAAAGCCAGCGTCAGGCGGCTCCGGTGCCAGTTATCTCCAGGGCAACAGGATGGCGGCTGTTCGCAAAGCAGTTCAAGGCACTGTTCTGGAAGAATGTCCTTCTGTCTTGGAGGAACTCTCGTGCAACAGCTTTGCAGCTCTTGTCGTCGCTGTTCTTCATCTTCCTGATCTTCATAGGTGAGGGTTGATCTACGGAGCTGCGTACATTGCATTTGTGTCCAACCGCAAGGCAGTCCTGGTTGGGCCAACTGTGCAATCTTGGTTGGGCACTTACTTCTTATCAAGAAATTTGGTCGAGCCCAGTAGAGATTTCATTTTTCCTGCAGTTGCCAAGGCCATCGATGCTCAGAACAAGGGCAACACCGGCTTCAAGAGCCTGCGGACGCCTGAGCCTTTTCTGATTCCGGCGCTGCCGGCATGCGAGACTGGCTACTACATCAAGAAACCATGCTACGATTTCGTCTATGCGCCAAACAACCTCACCTCGGTGAACACAATTGTGGGAAACATGCGCGCGCAGAATCCCGGAAGGCCGATACCCCCCGAGAAGGTGACCCTCGAGCCGCCACTTGGGATAGATCTAGAGCCACTGCCGCAGCTGGGGGCATGGAGCTAGCCGTTGTAACCACATTGTCATCACATGTGTTGTACCTGAGAAGGTCCGCATATACCACTCCTTGGAGTTCCTAGCTTGTGATTGCTTTGAAATGTGGACCGCTTGATCTTCCTGCAGCGTCCTCATGAGCCGGCCTCCTTGTGCAGGTGCGCGCCTTCTCTTCCGCTGCGGAGGTGGACGCGTGGCTGCTGGCCAACCCGAGCCGCTCCCCTGCGGCGGTCATCTTCCAGGAGACAGCGCTGGGGCTGGGCTACGGGCTGCAGGTCAACTCCACCATCAAGAACCAGCGCGGCCAGTACGAGGACGTCAACTTCAAGTTCCAGGCACCGCTGCAGCAGGCAGTGGAGAGGGAGATTGTGCGCTTTGTCACGGGGGGTGAGCATGCGGCCCCAATGCTCTTCCTTCAGCAGGCTTGCATTACAAGGGAGTAGCAGTGTTGGTTGAGCGCTAATGTTGAGGTGAAGGCCACGATTGTATAAATGCTGCCTTGGCATAGGCATATCAGACTTCTAATTGCTTGACGTGAAATCCAGCAGTGTCTGCCCCGATCGTTGATCCTAGTTCCGAGGTTTCATGAGCATCGTCACGGTGTAACTTGCACTATGCTGGCCTGTTTGTGCAAGCTCCACCAACGGTGGCCCCTGGCTGACAGTAACACGTTCGATAATCTGGTGCAGATGGGCCTGCCCTCAATTGGTACACATGGATGGTGGAGTTCGGTAAGCTGGCGGATCATTTCCTTGGTTCACAGAATCCTGCCTGTACCACGCTGTTGTATTGCCCAGTTAAGCATGGCTCCTCTTTGTAGTGTGCGCCGTAGCGCCCCCTGCCTGTCTCTCGTGCGCCCCTGGCCCCTGCGCCGCTGTTTCTCACCCCTTCTCCTCGTAATCCTGTGCAGCCCACCCTGCGACCACCAATTTCTCGGCGGCTGGGGCGGTTGCGCCTACCTTCCTCTTTGCGGCAGGTATGACGCACATTACCTCTGGCCCGTTGCAGTGGGCCTGCAGTGGGCCGGCGAGGAATCTTGGCCTTATTCTGCTGCTGCGACTCATTCCAGCTGCCTTCTGGTGGGTGCTGTGTCTGACCCAGTGGTGTGTTTCTCGTGTCTGTTGCAGCCATGTTCGGGTTTGTGATCCAGATCGGTGCGGTGGTGGCGGAGCGCGAGCTGAAGCTGCGGCAGGCCATGGACACGATGGGCCTCAAGGTGTCGGTGTTCTGGCTCACCTGGGTCGCGTGGGAGGTCGTCCTTGTCTTCATCTCCAGCCTCTTCATCGTCATCTTCGGCCTCATGTTCCAGGCAAGAAGACCACTCCCCCAACCACGCGCCCCATGCCATGCGCTTGGTTCGCTGCTCGAATGCTTCTCCGATTGTTAACTTTGTCGGTGGCTTGTTGTTCGTAGCCCAAGTGTGTCCTGGGGAACCTTGTAGCGCCCTGCACATAGTTGACTGGGGCTCCTCACTGCAGCGGGAGGCGCATGTGCACTGCTCTTGACTCCGCATCTCCCCCGTGTGCAGTTCGACTTGTTCAAGAGGAACGGCTTCTTCGTCCTGTTCATCCTCTTCTTCCTGTTCGAGCTGGCCATGGTAAGCTGCCGCCCAGACACTCTGCCCAGCGCCATTACCTGCTCGCCACGATGCTCTAAAGTTCTCTGTGTGAGCAGCACCGCACCCTGTTCCTGGTCATTGGGCCCGTAGTCCGGCCGGACCCTGCCGTCTCACCTCGCCCGGCCTGCTGTCGGTGACTCACTGCCCTGCTGTCGCTGACGCCCCCCCTGCCGGTGCTACTGCAGGTGGGGCTGGCGTTCCTGGCGTCGACGTTCCTGCAGTCGTCTGCCCCCGCCACCACCCTGGGCTTCTTCATCTTCATCCTCGGGTTCATCGTCCAGGTCCGTGGCACATCCGTTGCTCTCCCGGCACGCCTCCTGCCTCTCTGTGCTGCAAAGGAGATGCTTCTCAAACTGCAAGCTTAAACTGGAATTGTTGGCCGGCAGGGGACGGTTACAGCCTACCAACTGTTGCATGTTTCATCTTGCGCGCCTGGCACTGAGCAGGCTGTCCTGCTTGCGGTAGTTGCAGCGCTGGGCTGACTCCCGCTCTGCTGTTAGTGCAGCTGGTGACTGCGTTCGGCTTCCCCTACGACAAGAGCTTTGCGCCCTGGATCCGCTACCTTTGGTCCCTCTTCCCTCCCAACCTGCTCGCCATTGGCCTCCAGTACCTGGGGGATGCCACCGCCACCAAGGTACTCCTCACAACCCACGGAAGGTCACGGCCTTTTGTGTTGCACTTGGCTCTTCGATCCTCTTTGCTAGCGATCTTTTTGGTTCTCCTGTTGCCCCTCGACCTCCCCCCTCAGGGGGCCTGCTTTCAGAACAACTGGAGTGGGTATGACTGTCGCCCCTGCTTGTCACCTTGACAAAGACGGCCGTGCTTTCGTGTGCTTTTCGACTCCGCCCGCTGGCTTTCAGAGCTTTCGCCTTGCTCCTTGGTGTTGAACAAATGGTTGCCTTGCTGTGCCGCAGGATGACAGGGGCATCAAGTGGAGCCAGATCACGAGCCACTGCGGGAAAGGGAACTCGTTCGGGGGTATCAACGACGACTGTGTCTTCCCCCTGGTACGCTTTCCCTCACTCTGCCTGCGTGGCCTTTGCTAAGACAAGGCAGGTTCCCCATTGAAAAGCAGTCACCCGTTACCCTCTTGTGCCTCGCTGTGGCCGTGTGCCTTGACACGCAGTGTGGTCAACGCTGCCGCCCTGTGGGCTGAGGCTGTTTGTGTTATTGTGCGCGGTACAGAGCAACTGCTTCAAGTACTTGTTCGTGGAGTTCTTGCTGTACACGCTGCTGGCCACGTACCTGGACCGCGTCTTCCCGGACGTCAACGGCGTGCGCCGCCCCTGGCTCTTCTTCCTCTACCCCTCGTACTGGACCGGCTCCAAGGGCGGCTTCTCCGGCACCACCGGCTGCTGCTCCTGCACCGGCCGCGAGCCGCCCCTGCCGCCCTCCAGCGGGCCAGAGGACGAGGACGTCGTGGCAGAGAGAGAGAAGGTCGGCCCCACATGCCTGGCAGCCTGTAGCTCTGGAGAAGCGCTGGTCTTAACAACGGTCGCTTGCAGTAGTAGTTTATACTTGCAAACAGCCCTGGACAGGATGCTGTTACCGCGCTCGGGGCTTCACACCAGGCGCTTCACCGCCCTGGTGTGAAGCGCCTGCCTTTTACCCGTTCCTCTTGCCAGCCCCTCCTTTTTTGAGAGTCTACTTATCTGACCCCGTGCTTCTTGGCTGGCAGGTGGAAGCGCAGGCGCAGGCAGGCGCACCTCCCCCCGGCACCTCCGTGCAGCTGCGCAACCTGCGCAAGACGTTTGCGGGCACGCGCTCGTGCTCGTGCAAGTACTGCTGCTTCTGCACCTGCACCTCGACCGCGCCCTTCCACGCCGTCAAGGTCAGCCGCGGCCGCCCTCCCCGGCCAAACCCTTGTCTGCCTTGCCTGCTAAGCAGTGTCTCGTGTGCCTGCTCGCCTCGAGCCGTGTCCTCTTGAGTGCTGACACCTGGCTCCCTGGCTGCGTGCGCTGCAGGGCGTGTCCTTCACCATCGAGGAGAACAAGCTCTTCTGTCTGCTGGGCCCCAACGGTAAGCAGCCACTCGAGCTAGAGTGCCATGCGCAGGCCGTGCGATGACCGGCAGTTACTTTGCCCATCATCGCCAGTGTGTTTGACGCCACATCTCTGCCCCTGTCTGTCAGCAATGTTCTTTCCGCCCGGTCGGCCTTTCTTCTCTCTCTTTGTTCTTCTTTGCTTGATGCTAAGTGCGGCGCTTGCAACGGTTGGCTGCAGGGGCGGGCAAGACGACGACGATCAACATGCTGACGGGCGTGCTTCCAGCAACGGCGGGCAGTGCGCTGGTGTACGACAACGAGATTACAGACGCGGCGGGCATGGCGCGCGTGCGCAGCTTCATGGGCGTGTGCCCGCAGTTCGACATTCTGTGGGGCGACCTCACGGGCAAAGAGCACCTCTGGCTCTTCGCCAACATCCGCGGCCTGCCCAAACAGCAAGTCGCACAGGTCAGCCCCGCACACACAAGGCGTGCTAAAGCACATGCTGTCTAGTGAAGCGGCTAACCACCGTCTTGGCATTGGCGCGCACCGCCATGCGCGCGCTGGCCGCATGGAGAGCCACTCGAGCCGCCGTCTGGACGAGATCACAGAATCCAGGAATAGTGCGCTTCAGGATAGTAGAATCGTCGGCAGGTAGGGTTAGGTTGAGGTTTCCGGGCGGGTACGGGTGCGGAGCAGGTGATAGCACGGGTTTGGGTTTCAACTTTGCTTTCCAAGCTTGTTTTTCCTTGTGCCTAGCGGTCTTCAGCCCCTCCTCAGTATTGTTCGGTGGGTTGTCTCCCTCCCCCATCTCCCTTTCCCCCTCACGGTGTCCTTGCTTGTGTTGCAGGAGGTGGACGACTTGCTGGCCCAGGTGCGGCTGGTGGAGGCGGGCGGCGTGCGCAGCGCCAGCTACAGCGGGGGCATGAAGCGCCGCCTCAGCGTGGCCGTCGCGCTCATCGGTGACCCCAAAGTGGTGAGCCCTCCGCCGACCCACAGGCCCGCTGCTCGCTCCGGTTTGTAGACCACTGCGTAGGAGCAATGTCTTGCAGATTGGTTGCTAGGGGCACGCTTTGGCTCGGGGCTGAGCCGCGGGTCCGGGTGGTGCAGGTGTACTTAGACGAGCCGACGACGGGCATGGACCCTATTTCGCGGCGGCATGTTTGGGACATCATCGAGGCGTGCAAGCCGGGGCGCGCCTTCATCCTGACGACGCACTCCATGGAGGAGGCCGACATCCTGGGCGACACCATCGCCATCATGGCCAAGGTCCGCACCCGCCCCACGCACCTCCGCCGTGCTCCTCGCGATAGGGGCGGCTACTCGGCTCTGTTTGTGACGACATAAGTTGCTTCGCACACAGCTTGTAGAGCGCTTCCCAACAGAAATGTGCAGGCGCCGTGCGGCCTGCTGCAGCCTCTCGAGTCTTGGCGGTGACTTCCAGCCTCCTTGTAGCACTGGATTCTTGCCGTTGAGCCGTGCTGAATGCGGGTGTGCGCGCGATGCAGGGGCGCATGCGGTGCATCGGCAGCAGCATCCACTTGAAGAACAAGTTCGGCGCGGGCTACATCGTGAACGTGTCGGTGCGCTCCGCGGGCAGCTACGTGGACCTGCCCGGGGCCACCAGCTGGGAGGCGGACGCGCACAAGGCCGACGCCGTCAAGGCCTTCTTCAAGCAGGTAACGCCTCGTGTAACCTGCCACACCGCTGCTTACTATGTCGCCCGCTCTTGTGTTGGGTGTCAGATTGAGGCAGTCAATCTGTGCAAGGTGGGTGGTTGAACTTCTGCAAGAACGGCTCTGTTGTCGCAAACTCCTCGAGTTAGAGCACCGTACCGTTTTGCTGCAGCTAAGGGCGTGCCACAGATTGTTCACACATTCTCCTGTGAGCTGCACGCCGCTGACGTGGTACTGCGTGGCGGTGGCTGCAGGGGCTGGGCGTGGAGGCGGCGGAGGAGAGCAAGGCGTACATCCGGTTCCTGGTGCCGCGCAGCGCGGAGCGCGTGCTGCCCGAGTTCTTTGCGGCGCTGCAGGCGCGGCGCGGCGAGCTGGGCGTGACGGACGTTCAGCTGAGCCTGTCCACGCTGGAGGAGGTGTTCCTGGCCATCGCGCGCCAGGCCGAGCTGGAGACCGCGCAGGCGGAGGGCCGCTACGACAAGATCACCCTTGGCGACGGCACCACCCTGCAGGTGCGACGCCTGTTTACACCGTAGGGATAGCGCAGCCGTGCAAGCATGATTTGTAACTCCGTGCTAGCCGTCTCTGCAGCGCCGCAAGTCTCAGGACCTGACGAAGTCACTGCTGCACACGAATAGACCCTCCTTTGTGTTGGCTTTGTCTCTTTGTCCCTTTGCTTTCAACTCACTGCGGTTCTGCTTGCTGGCAGGTCCCCATTGGCGCACCATATGTGGCCCTGCCGGGCTCCGCGAGCGCCGACTACCCCAACGGCCTCATGGTGGAGGTCACGTGGCAGCAGGACGACGCAGGTCGCCTGATGGTGTCGCACCATTCGGAGCCCATGCCCGCCCCGGCTCCCGCCGCGCGCTTCACGCAGCAGGATAGCGGCTTGGGCCGGCGGGCCAGGAGGTCGCTCTCCAAGAACAATTCCAACATTGGACAGGCGCTCACAGAGATCGAGCTGGCCGGGGCTGGCGTGCTGCCGAGCACGCTTGAACCAGCACCACCGCTGGGGCCCATGAGAAGATGAGAGATATCTAAGTTGAGACACATCATTCTTCGACCCAGTCAATCCGCACCACAGCTTGTACCATACGCCGCTGGCCCTTGCATTCTCCTAATTTAGAATCCGGGTCGATTCTAACCTTATAAGGTACATTCAAAAAAGTTGTACCTAAAGTAGGCACCAAATCGGTGAAAGTTGGTTGCTGTCGAGCACTTTGTCACTACCTTCAAGAAGGTTGATATTGACTTCACTTTTTACTTGAAAAACCCAGATAGAAGATTTGCAGACAAGATGGTCACGTTAAATTGCTTGATGTTTCGTCTTGTTGTCTGTCTTGCGGCTGTTCATTCGATCCCTGGTTCACGTGCGTGTAATGGCTTTGTTCGAGGCGGATAGTCGTTCAATGCAACGTACATATGCTCATAACATGCTTTCAACATGTGCAATGGGTCGCGGTGCATCACGAATGCAGTATGCCATAATGATACATATGCAGCTAATGACGACGTCTAGAGGTCCTTTATCTCGATCTGAAACTTGCACGAATATTAATCGTCTGCATGTCTTATACAAGTCATGAAAACGTATGCGAAACATTATATGTAAGTACGATCTGCAACGCGCTGAATTACAAGAGCAGAACATGCAAAGCGTCAACTTGAAATCTGCATACGCATAAAGATGCAGCTTCTAAAGCTTGGCTGTCAACATCAAACAACGCACTCACTGTCTTTGACAGCTGAGCTTTGCCCTAGCTAAAACGGCACCTTTTTTCGTTTAAGGAAAAGTCTGCATGAGAAGAACAGTGGAAGAGAACTCATCGAATGAGTCCTTCCCGAAACTCATAAGAAGAGTCATGGCTCGATGGTGAATCCAGTACATTCGTGAAGCGGAACAGCAGCAAGAACCCTCAGAGCCACTTCCTGCTTAGCACGATGTCTTTCTGCCAGTCGCCCAGGCTTGCCAACAACAATGGTTTTTCACGACCTTGTTAACCACGCGGATACCAGAAAGGTCGCTGGACTCCTTGGCCACCTTGCGGGCCAGGATGGGGTGGCCGACCTGCACTTCCTCGGAAGTTCTCCTCCTCCTCCTCTTCACCATAGTCAACCAGCTTTATACCTGCAAGAAACATGCACCATGTTGAACCGCACAAACAGGAATAGGGTGTAACTACAAGAGGTGCTGCCGACAAGTCCGGGAGAAGCGAAATACTCGGTCATAGGAGATCCTGAGGGCCATGTATGCAGCCCAGGACGTGCATTCTGGTTCCAATAAGGACCCTCAAGCTGAGTTTTCCTCCTGTCTACTAAATGCATGTATAGTGTCCGTACAAAGACATGCTTGCAGTGCCAGAACACGCATTTGCTGAGCCCCCTCGCACACGAAAGGGCAAGCAATATAACACGACTGCAGCACACGAAATTTGAACCACTGCTAGAGCTAGCTGCTTTCCCTGGCCAAAGAAGGCGCCTCCCATGGAAGACCGGGAAGCATTCCGAACACGACCGCACTGTATCAGGATCGCGTTCTGCCGGTCCAGAGGCCGGAGACGCCGTGTCCTTTCACCAGGACACATGGCTCGATGCACATGGATGCTGACAGCAAGCAGGGCTAAAAGCGGGAAGCAAAAGCAGAAACGCACCCCTGGTTGCCTCACCATATCCTTGCGCACTTTGTGCAGGTGGCCTGTTCATGGGCGGCCCCATTTGCTGCATGGCACCCCTCATCGGCGGAGGCCCCATGGCGCGCGCTGGCGGCGGGCCCATCAGCCCCCTCCCGCCTGCCCCCAGCCCCTGCGCACCCAGGCCGTACCCGGGGGTGGGCCCCGCGGGAGCTAGGCCCAGTGGTCCCTGACAGCAAGGAACAGCAACCGTCAGCCATCAAGAAACACGGAGAGTATGGGCGACTGCCTGTGGAGCATCTCAGGCATCCGCTCCTAGCAAACGCGTGTATGTGTGGTTTTCACGTTTATGTCTCACCTGATTAGCCTGCTGGGGAGGCATGCCCCGCCCGTTGGTGGGGAACTCCTGGAACTTGCGCTTCTTCTCCCCCTCCGCGGGCCCCTGCTGCTGCGGTGGCCTTTGCGGCATCCCCCCGGGATATCCGCTGGCCTGGCCACTGGCGGACGGCTGGTAGGCAGCAGGATAGCCGCCCCCGCCGTACGGCGCAGGAGGCCCTGGCTGCGCTGGCCGCCCCTGCTGGTATTGGCCCCCTGCCGGACCGGACCCCTGCGGCGGATACCCCCCTTGCTGGGCCTGGGCCTGAGCAGAAAACGGGCCCGGTTGGAACTGCTGCTGCTGGCTAGAGGGCCCGTTCTGCGTGCTCTGTGGGGGCGGGTATGCAGAATAGCTAGCGACAGGAAGGTTGTAAACGCTGGCGCCTGCTGCAGGACCTGCGTAGCCCCCGCCACTGGCAGCGCCGTACTGGCCGGTACCGGACTGGGGCCCCGAGGGTGGGTACTGCCCTTGCGCGGCTCCCTGGTAGGCCTGTGCAGCGTACTGCCCTTGGGCCTGGCCCGGCTGCCCGTGCACTGCATACTGCCCCTGTCCTTGCTCCGGCTGCTCCTGCGGGGGGTACTGGGTGAGGCCCTGCGCAGGCTGGCCGTTGGGGGCATACTGGTACCCCTGGTAATGAGCGCTAGCATCCGCCGGAGGGGCTGGGGGGACTTCTTCGGAGGGGGGTGGGGGCGCCGCATCCGGGGCCGGAGGTGGGCTCGGCTCTGCACGAGGCGGGGGGGCAGAGGAAGGGGCAGGCACCGCCGGGTGGGAGTACGGGTCGGGGTGTCCGTACTGGGGAGGCGGAGAGAAGGCAGCATGAGAGGAGGGCGAGGCGAAAGAGAAGCATGACGGCTAGGCTTTGCTGAGAGCAGAACTTTCAAATGCAAGAGAAGAACCAACTTCGTCCCACTACCCCTTGCAAAGCGCATATCTTTTAGGAACGGCTACAGACAGAATACAAGCGGCCTTGCGCAGTCCCTCGACAGGAAGATGGGGCTGCCCAGTGACGGCGGTGGAAGCTGGGGTAACAAGGTGGGGCAGTCACCTGCTGCTCCTGCTGGGGGGGCATGTGCTGGTACGGAGAAGGGCTCGGGGTCGTCTGAGCGGGCGACTGAGGGGGAGGAGGGCGCTGCTCAGGAGGAGGGGGGGGGATGCCTTTCCTCTCGTCCCTGCGAGACACCATCTGATCCGTTTGTTCTCTTTCATTCATTGGTAGGATCCACGACGGAAGGTGCGAAGAGAGAACAAGCTCTTAGCCCACAAGATGGCGTTGCAAGCAGGTACCAGAGATCAACACAGCTGGTTCAATAGCGGCAGCTGAATTACAGCGTGCTATCAGGTCTTAACGGACAGAAGGATTTGAGTGGGCTCCGTACTGCGAAAAAAGAAGTTCAAGCGAGCGTGATACCCAGGTATCTAGTCACCCCAGCTAGACCAGCATGGCCAGGTTTGATTGCACAGAAGAACGCCTGAAAGGAGGCGGCCAGGAGCAAGTACTCACTGAGGTGACGCGTATGGAGCTGGCGAGTAGCCAGCCGGGCCTGCTGGGGCAGTGCTTCCTGTAGAACCACGACAGGATACTCAGTGAAATGCGGCATGCCGAGAACGAAGTGGCGCACAGGCTCGACGGGGATTCAACAAGGGGCTCACGAATCAAGATGGGCTTGAGGTGATTGTTTTTGGGGCGATGGGACCAGGGCCGCACACACAAAAGAAAATAGCAATTCGGCATAACCTTAAGTACCTGGATAAAGGGGGGCCGCCGTTGCCGCACTGGCTGCTGGTGCTTGTTGGGGGTGCTGATACTGGTCACCAGAAGCTGGGGCACTTGTTGGTGTGGGTGCCTGTGCTTGCGCACTGGGTGAAGCCTCTGGACCAGTGGGCTGCGCACCCATGGGCCCTGCGGGGGGAGGGTAGTAGCCGTAGAAGGGGGGGGCTGCACCGTAGGGAGGGGGCGCTCCCGGGTAGGGGGGATACGGGTAGCCGTAGTAGTAGGGCGGGTACTGGGGGGCCACGGGGGGGGCTGCAGCAGCCGCAGATGCAGTGCCAGCAGCGGGCTTGCTGCACAAGGGAGGGGAAGATGGCTGTGAGAGGCCAAAGCAATCGTGGCCACCCCAGGGCCCTCTTATCAAAAGCAAGCAAGTTCTTGCTGCTGATCGTTGTCACTGTCTCATAAAGCGACACAGGGGCAGTGTGTCGCAGCAACAGCAATGAATCAGATTAAGGACGACATGAGTTGAGACAAGGTCTTGACGCCTTCTAGGAGAGACGTCATAGCTCCACAGCTCGTGAGGGGCGGGCTTGCACCTGTACGCGTCCCAGTCGGTGCGGATGGTGTCCAGCAGGTTGTTGGCCAGCTTCTTGGCCTGGTCCAGCCCCGCGGCCGTGCTGCACATGAGCACCAGCTGCAGCGGCTCGTCCTTCTCTGCACAAACCCCCCACACCACCCGTCATACACAAGGCATATAGTCCTTAAGTAGTGCAAGCAGATGCACCTGCTGCATCCTTTCTTCCTTCATTCTCCTCATCAGCACTGCTGCAAACCGGCTCTCCGAAGGCTCCGGACTAGATGGTCTCACCTTTCCCTTCAGGCCCTTCTTTGGTTCCGGACCCCCTGCCGCGCAGCTCCAGGACCGCGCCGCTCTCATTGGAGATATGGTCCAAGTACGCGTTCTGGACCAGAGCAAGAAAGGATCAAGAAGGGCACGAACTCATTTTTCAAAACCACTGCAGCGCACAACCCCCAAAGAGCAATGCGAAACTGCACAAGCTCGCACTGTGAATGCAAGAGAACCAACTTCAGAGGCGGAGCCTCCTGCTTACGTTGGGTCCACGGATCCGAGCTGCGAGGCCAAACCCTGCATCTGCCTCAATGCCCACATGTAAGAAGAGGGTGTGCATTGCCTGCATACGAAATCAAGGGTGGAAGTCAGACACCAAAGTCGAGATGAGGCCCCACAAGAAAGCTGTCAAAGCACGTGCAAACAACTGAGATTGCAAAGAGCAACAAGCTAAATGCACTACTGAATGGGGTGCTGCTGCGTCCTGACCGTGACTGGCTTCACAAGACCCTGGCGCGGCCGCAGGCCTGGCCCCCCCTTGAGGATGTCCTCCACAATGGTGACGGCATGCTCCATGGCGCGCTGCTTCGCGATCTCATTCGGGAGCTGCACAGAAGGGGAATTGCCTGCTGTTTGACTAAGACATGCTGTCGTTTTGGGATGTTTAAGAGTGGGTGTGTAAGAAAGAGCCTGGTTGTCTGAAAAGAATAAATGCAGATGTGGGGTGTAAGAAAGGAAAGCCCGCCGTCGCGCATGGAATCGAAGAAAGAATGCTCAAAATTCCATCAGGTCCCAGCATTGCCGCCGCTCCAAAACCTATATTTGACCAGTTTGAAGCACAGGGGCGTAACAAGTAAGGCTTCTCTTCATCAAGATGCAGAAAACCTGGTTGAACCTGGTGCGGCGATCGGGTGGCAGCAAGCTGCAACCGGGCTAAGCCTGACAGCCAGCACACTGCCTGCGCCAGAGTTTGTTAGAATGATGGGAACAATCGTTGTCAACAGAGGATGATTAGCCAGCGCTTCAAAAATTCCCTTCGTCAACTGCAATCGAATCGGTGACAGTCCCCAGTTTCTGGGCGTCTGCATCACGAAGAAACCAAGCAACTGTCCTTGGCGGTCCGTGCCGTTGCTTGCCAGTCGCGGCCTTGCCATGTCGGTAGGGACCGGTCGACCTCTTAATCCACCTGTCGACCTGGGAAGAGGAGAGGAAAAGGGAGGGGGCTGTCGCTGGTTGAAAGTGCTGGGCGGCATGGGCCCCTGTCCCACTGCCTGCCACAGACTCACGTGTGCACCAGGAGATATGTGCAGGTGCAGCGGTTTTTCGCTGGGGTCCAATGGCGCACCCGGGGCCTTGTATCGACCTCTGCAATGACGCAAAAGAAAGAAAGAGGGTCATCTGATTGCAGAGCACTACGGGGGGGTGCGCCAGGGCGTAAGACCTGTACGGAGGAGGTGTTTCAACGGACTCGATTACATTCGTTCAATCAAAACGCACTTCTGGTCTCAATGCGGGTGTGAAGGGTGAGAAAAACTGACTCGTGATGCAATGCGAGATGGGACACATTGATTAGGACCTGATTGTCCCAGATTTGTCTTCTCATATCTGTTTCTCGAAGCACTTGGCCAGCACCGTGCCACGGCAAGTACTGCCCAAACTGCTCTTTGCCTGCTCTGAAAGCAGGTCTACACTGTATTCAATTTTAGCCCCACCATTGATACACGCCAGTCAACAAGCTTTCAGGCACTCCAGTCAAACAGGCAGCACTAGGAATGCACAAAGCTCTTCAACATCAACCTTCAACAAACATGCTCAAGTACTGCCAATGGTAAGCAATGGGGTCGCTACCATCTGCCCTCCGCCTTGCCAGCCAACACTAGAGAAACGCACCTTGTGATGATCACCGACCCGGTCTCCCTTTGGATCTGCAGCAAAAATCACTAGCCTGTCAGCCACAGGACTCCAAGCGGCTAGGACATCAACTACTCTGCATCTGCTTGCATAGAGCAAGAGTGGGGCATTGTTGATTCCTGTAAAATCTGTCCTCACATAAGAAGCGCAAGAAAGATACACCCTCAGGCAGTGTAAGGCCAGCATTGGCAAGATGCTCTCACCTCTTCTTGGACAGGCCGCCGTGTCAGCTGGCTCCGAATCGCAGTGGGAGCATCGTTGATCACAATCTCCCTCTCTGCGGCGCTGTCATCCACCTTGGCCCCAGGAATGAGACCTCGCTGCATCAACGTCTGCAGCAGAAGGAGGAGATCCGTGTGTCAAGGTCACGCCAAGAGACACCTTGTGAGGGGCCCAAAGAAAGAGAAATGACCATTCTGGCATCAATATACGGCACGCACCGAACAGGCAGAAACCTGTCCCAGGGTGGAAGCCCTTCAGCAACCCTCCCCGAGCAGAAGACTGTGATAATGGTGTCCGTACAATGCCCATCGCTGATGAAAGCAATTAAGAAACTTTGCTGGGCACCCCTGCCTGTGCCCCACTTGTCGTGCAACCCACCTGGTTGATCTTTTTCCGTATCTCCTCTGCGGCGGAGCTGCCTGGCACCCCCATGGGAACCGCCTGAGGCACAGCCAGCTGGGGATACTTGTGCAGCAACTGGCTGGCTGCCGCCGCAGCAACATGGTCCGGCCCTGCACCAAACGGTTGGCCCAGGATGCTGGGGGCAACCCCCGCAACAGGAGCAGGAGCAGTCCCCGGAACATCCCACTTGCGCTTCTTCCTGTAGAAGACGCATATGGTGAAAAGGGCATGGTCAATGTGCTGCATGTTGACACATTGTGAGACCACCGACATGGATAATGACACTAGTCTAAGGTTTTGTTTCAATCACTTGTAAGATGCATTCAGCGACCTGGCAATCACAATGACACGATGGAGCTGCTTATACTAGATACTGCAGTCTCTGCAGTGATGACGAAATATGGCGAAGCATGAGGTCTATAGAAGCAAGGACACGCGAGCATAACACGATCACCCATATAAGTACCTGTCTTGCTTGGGTTCCATACTCCCTGGTGGTATAACACCTAGAATAGCTCAGATGCTTCCACTCTTTTCTGGCAAAGCAGTATTTGCCTCAACGTCGTTGGTTGTTGTCAGTCAATTTCCAGGTGCTGTACTCAGTCTATCTACGCAATAGAATGGCTTTTGTGCTTCACAAGAACCTGCTAGCGCCAATGCTTATGACTTCACGCTAGACCCTCCAGAACGCCTCCCTAGCTGCTGCGCACTGTTTGCAAGCGCTCAAAATTTTCCCTGGGCCTAGGTTGCACTGGCAGGCTCGCGCTGGCGCAATGGCGAGCCGTAAGTAGGTACATGATGCATATCGTCAGTGGTAACTTTCAAAACCCGATTCGCAACCCAACGGTTTTCAGGTGCGATAACCACGTAGAATTTTCCCGGCACAGTACCTGCGGGATACCTCCCAGTCCGCTCCCTATTTTTGTATTAGATACGAAGGCTGTTGGCACGGATTTCCTGGGATTGCCCCTATTTTATTAAATACATTGTGATCAAGTGACGTAGATTCAGACGGCAGCAAAACCTCTCGGTTTGACAGAATGATGTTAAAGGTAACGGGCCACGGTCTCGACAAGCATGAGCACTGTGCGCAGTTTCCGGGACGCAAATGCGCATAGCGGCTAGATCCGAAGCAAGAGATGGGTGTCGCTGGCAGCGTCTTCTTCCATTAAAGTTAGGGCCCTGGGCGTAGAGCTGCAAAGTCGTCAATTTAGAGCATGCGGCAGCTCCAATAGGATCTCTTCTAGAAGCGCAAGGATTTTGAAAGGTGGTGGTGTCCAATCAGTGTGGCATGACTTCTCCCGCTTGAAAAGCAAAGAGGCATAAAGCCTAGAGAGAAGGCGCATTGGGCCTGGATTCAGTTTGGAGTCTTTGAGACCATGGCTGAGACAGGCGTTGCAGGGAGTTTGCGAGGAGAGACCCATCAGAGCTTTCCCCGGGCAGCAGCAGTCTCCAAAGGCTACAACTTTGCATCCACGTGGGAACAGGTAGGCACAGGTTCCAATGCTCCTCTGCAAGCCAAATGTAGGCTACACATAATCTCTATATCCTGCATTCAGGAAGAGCTGATGTCTTCGATCTGCAATGTGGGGACTTGCCGGCAGTCTGCTTTTATGAGGAGCACTTGAGTATGTAGAAGTTTTCCTGCAATTGCTCATAACCTTTTCTAGGCTTTTATGTCCTTGCTTCTGACACCCATTGCTGAGCAGCATCTGGTTTCTGGTTCTTTGTAGAATGCCCCTTTGACTGACGACCAGGTGGCAATCATCTCGCTCCTAGCCCAAGCATCTGCGGAGCGACCACTGCCCCCTCATGTGGTGAGGACCCAGTGGAGCACCACTTCCTTAAGAATACTGCTTTTGACTGATCAACTTCCTACTTGCCCTCTTTCCTGAATCAAGTCAAAGGCTTGCTAGGGGCATGAGTTTGTTGCTTCAAAAACATTCACGAATCTCTCTAATAAAAAGGTCTGCTTTCGAGGTGCAGGCTGGAAAGGGCCCCGAAGCATCAGATGCGAATGGACGGCCTCGAGACTCAAGCTCTGGGGAGACCAGCACCTCTGATTCCATCCTACACAACACACACCAGGTACTCCAAGATCTCTGTCCTTGATTGCCTACTGTAAGTGTGCCAAGATACTGGAAGGTTCGAAGCCAATTGCAGACAGTTGGGACTTGGACCTGACAACTAGCACCCTTATATTCTAAGGTCGCAAGGTCAAGGTGAGCGTTACGTCATTTCTGATCTGAGATGTCAATGATGTGACTTCCGTCTGGTTTACTAACGTGCTCCTCTATGTCCCTGCAGTTCTACAAATGGTATTCAGAACTGGAATCAACAATGAACTTTGAGGTAGGGCCCTTGCACTCCCCTCATCCCGTCTCACAATGGCAGCTATCAGCGATTGAGGCCGTAGCACTGCGCTTTTGCAAGGATTTCCCCATATGTCATCAATGGTGCCCACTGCGCTTGATGAAGAAAAGAGGGTCAAGGAGATGGCAGCTTGAAAATGTTATACTGAATGTGTCATTCTGGTGCAGATGGAAGAGAAGTACCGGCGGTATGTGGACACATTGACAACACATCTCAAAACTTGTGATGACATCATGGCTCAGGTAAGAGATGATGGCTTAGAGTACAGCCCTGTTTGATGTAGAAAAAACGTCAGTTTGGGACCTGCAGCTTTAGCCACTTGCAGTCAACTCCTCAATGTCTTAAGTCCAACTCTTTCGCCGTCTGTGGTTGTGACAGACTGGCAGTAAAGTGCCGTCACAGATAAAGATCGAGCTTCATACTGAAGTCTCTCCGTGCGGATCACCGCCCCCCCCCCTGCTAGTCTGCCGATTGCCTTCGCTGTGCCCCCTTGCAGGTAGACGAGACGCTGGGCCTGTTTGACGACCTGCAGGCGCAGCACGCAGCGGTTGCCACCAAGACGCAGACCCTGCACGACGCTTGCGAGCGGCTTGTGCAGGAGAAGGAACGCCTTGTCGAGTTTGCAGACGCCCTGCGCACCAAGCTCAACTACTTCGATGAGCTGGAGACGGTATGTCCAGCTTCGATTGCATGTCAAGGATGGTTGGACGCCACTGTTGAAAATTAAAACAGCTCATGATCCACACTCGAAGTTTTAGGCTGTGCAATCAGCTGACGGTGCTGCAGAATGTCAGACGAAGGGAGTTCAGACCGGCGTTTCCAGTTCCCTGGTCACGACGGCGGCGTCTCTTATCATCGTCAGCTCGCCGCCATTGAAGCTGGCAGGCTGGGCCTAGACCCGAATTCTAAGGGCTCGCCCTGTGGCCTCCACCAAGGCTCGCCCTTCGCTAGCCCCCAGCGCTTCCTGTCCGGCTTGGTAACCGACCTGCCAGTCTGCTTACTCGAGCTCTTCTTATGTTTGCAGGTTGCAGCGCAATTCCATTCGCCCAATCTGACGGTCAACAACGCCCACTTCCTCCCTCTTCTCAAACGACTGGACGAATGTATAGCGTAAGCAATATCGCAACAAACGAACAGTGGTGCTAGGGATGCCTTTCCCTTTCCTGCTGACAGCTTATCTCTCAACTTTGTCTTTTCGTTGGTCTCATGTGTACATCTGAGTTGCGACATAGTGTCCTGGGATTTGATGGCCCTTGTCTCATGTTCGTCTGCGTTTCTGCTGCAGGTATGTCGGTAGCAATCCGCAGTACGCCGACTCCGCTGTGTACCTGGTCAAGTTCCGGCAACTGCAGGTGCGCTGGATCAACACTCCTACCACCCTCTGGCTCTGAGTATTCCTGTGTCTTTTGGCTAGCCTCGGATCGCATGAATCTTGCCAAAACCTGTTTTCGAACGACGAAACTGCCAGTGCTTATGTTGGAGAGCGTGCCAGGGTCACTTTTGATGACGGTGATCGTTTCTCTGCAGTCTCGGGCGCTGGGGACGGTGCGGTCGCATGTGCTGTCTGTGCTGCGCCATGCCTCCCAACAGGTAAGTCGACCCTGAAACACGGCCAACCCTCCTCCATTTGTACAGCATGCCAATCGCCCTCAGTTGGACGGCATGACCTTTCGTCTGCTTGTACGACTTGCCGTCAGCATGCATTTTCCTGCTCTTTACTTTGGGCTGTGCGTGCTACTCGGATTCGCTGAGTCCCCGAGCTGGCGCCTCGAAATGAGCGGCTGCCATGTGCGTGCGCAGGTGCAGCAGGCGATCAAGGAGAGCGCCTCCAGCAGCGAAGGGGGCAGGGCAGCCAACGTGGCCGAGGGGGCGGAGACGTCCTTGCTGTACGTCCGATTCAAAGCGGCCGCCCCCTCGGTAGGTCCCGGGATCATGCATGTCCCGGCCTGGATACTACGCTTGGTCGAAAGCACGCTGCGCTCCCGTCCAAGCAACTCGCCTCTGCCAGTGAACGCGCCGAAAGTCGCTGCCAATCAGCGCCCTCACTTTGCGTGACTCCCATGGTGTTTGGTGTGCAGTTGAAGGCTCTGATGGAGGAGATGGAGACGCGCGCAGCGCGCAAGGAGTACCAACAGCTGCTCGCCGACTGCCACGGCCTCTACTGCGAGCAGCGCCTTGCACTGGTCAGCACCCGCAGCACCGCCGCTGGCTGGCAACACTGCACACACTGGCTGCCAAGGATGGTCGTTTATTTGTGTTCTCTCGGCCATAATTCCCATCGAAAGGTTTCCGTCGGCTCGAGGCCTTGTCTCTTCCCACCGGATGGTGCGCTGACGGGCGTGTGGTTTGCAGGTGGCGGGCGTGGTCCAGCAGCGCATCACGGAGTACGCCAAGGCGCAAAGCCTGCCCTCGCTCACGCGCTCGGGGTGCGCGTACCTCATGCAGGTCAGGCACACGGACCCCTCCACTCAGCGGCTCCGCGTTTGCCAAGCGTGGCTTGAACTTAAAATAATCTTGTCAAGAATCTCTTGTTTGATAATCTTGACCGCACCTACATTGGCTGGTGTGAATCAAGACGTATTCACTTAGTTCGAGCACTCCTTTGCAACTTCTTTGGTTGCTTGTCTTACCCTCTACGGCCCTTGACAAGTGCAGAAATAAAGCGCTGCAGCGTTTCAGTGAATTGAAGAGTCCGTGCAATCTCCTCGTCCTTTCACCGAACGTACTCTCGGTGCTCGCCATCGTTCCCCTCAACTCAGTATACAGCATGTCTGTAGCCCGCACTTTGTCTCGCGGATCTGTTTGTCCGGTACCGCCTTGGCTCCTCGCTCCTCGCCATCCCCGTTGCGAGTCGGCGTCAGCGTGTGCCCCCTGTCAGCCGTCTCTCGTCTCGGTTGTTTCGTGTTACATTCTGAGATGACAAAGACCGTTGGGCTTTTGGGTCTCTAACGAGTCTCATCCTGACTGAGGGTCCTCCCTTATCTGGTGTCGTGCAGGTGTGCCAGCTGGAGCACCAGCTGTTCGACCACTTCTTCCCTGCCTCCTCGGCGGAGCCCGCCAACCTGGCCCCCCTCATTGACCCCCTGTGCACCGTGCTCTACGACACGCTGCGCCCGCGCTTCATCCACGAGGCCGACCTCGACCTCCTTTGCGAGCTGGTCCGTGCCAAGCCTTTGACCTCGCGTCTTTTTGTGCCGGTCCCGCATCTTCTTTCTGCCCGGGGCCATCCCACCGCCCCGCAGACTCCCTCTCGGTCGGTGTGCCGCTCAAAGAGGACGTCAGAAGTCTTGCAGTATCGTCAAACGCGGCTCGCTCGCTAGCACAGGTTCCGAGGACGACATCACGTTTCTACCTTCGGGACCCTGGGGCGAAGCGGTTCTTGAAATCACCAACACACGACAGTCGTTTCTCAGATTACGAAGTGATCCGTTCCTTGTGCCTGCCCCTTGCTTCGGCTAGTTGCCGCTGCTCGCAGTTGCCCTGACGCGGTGTGGCGGTGGTGCAGGTGGACATTCTGAAGGCGGAGGTGCTGGACGAGCAGCTGGGCCGCAAGGGCGAGGCCGTGGCCGGGTTGCGGCCCACCGTGGACCGCACGCTCGCCGACGTGCAGGAGCGCCTCACCTTCCGCGCACAGACCTACATGCGCGACGAGGTGCGCACACCCCAAACCCGTGACCCTAGCTTTCCCCCCGATGATTGCCTACTCTTGTCTGATACATGCATGTCGGTCGATTCTCCAGCGCTGCCTGTAGACATGCTCTTTGATGCGGTACGAGGCTACAAGAACGGCAGTTTAGGCAGCAAGTTCAATGCTGATTGCCTCCTTCTGGGCTGCAGATTGCCAACTACAATCCGACCCCCGACGACCTGGACTATCCCGCCAAGCTCGAGAAAGTGCCCTCCACGCAATCGGAAGTAAGGGGCGCTCGCTTCGACCTCGCCGTCTGGCTTAACGCCCTAGCTGCCGTCTTGCATTGCTCCACGTGTAGTACCTAATTCGGTTTACCGCCCCTTGTCACGACTTATGTTCCTTTCTCGGCTCTCGCTTTTCGTGAGCGGAGGCCAGCTTCGCCGGCTTCTTTCCGTCCTTCCGGGTAAGAAGGCGACTGTTGCTTCATGTTCTCCCCTCTTCGCATCGCTTGGGGTCTGTATCTGGGGCTTCCGTAAACGCTCGGCTATGCTCCGCTGTGCTGATGTGCCTATGGTGCGGCGCGGCATAACCCCTTTTCAGCTGAGCCGTCGTGTGCACGGTGCGTGCAGATCCAGGAGGAGGGCGCGGCGGGCGAGGACGGCCAGGACGCGTACACGACGTGGTACCCCCCCCTGGAGCGCACGCTGTCGTGCCTCTCCAAGCTGTACCGCTGTGTCGACCACAACATCTTCACCGGCCTCGCCCAGGTGACCCGCCCTCCACGGCCGCCATGCGCTGCCGGGCCGGCCTCCAAATTTTGGACTCTTGTGAACAAATCGTTCCCCATCGCCTGCCCCTTCTGCAGGAGAGACGAACAGGCTGCCTCCTACACACCTGACTGGCCCCCTTGCCTGCTGCAGGAGGCGATCAGCCTGTGTTCAATGTCCATCCAGCGGGCCAGCAAGAGCATCGCCAAGAAAGCGGGCAGCCTGGACGGCCAGCTCTTCGTGGTCAAGCACCTGCTCATCCTGCGCGAGCAGGTCCGGCGCCGCAACCCGCCACTGGAACGTGTCCTTTGCCGCTGTGCAAAACGCATTGTGCGCTCTCTGCTGCTTTTCATGCCCCTGCTGTCGGCCTGTTCCAGCATCCTGTGGCCGAGCAAGGGCCCTTTTGCTGACGCATCTCGTCGTTGCTTCCTCTTTCAGATCGCCCCCTTCGACATCGACTTTGCGGTCACATACAAGGAGCTCGATTTCTCGCACATGCTCGTAAGTCCAGCCTCTTTTATCGCAGGCACACCGGATTGACCTCGCTCTTCTTTCACCGTTCACTCCTCGGCCTGCATCAGTCTGAACGCTTTCCAATGTCGTGAGGTGGTCACATCTGGCCTGCATCGCTCAGTCCGTGTGTTGGGAATACTTCGTTTCTTTACTGTGCGGGACCATTAGCCATTACTCGGCGCATGCAGGAGCACATGCGGCGCATCTTGCGGGGCCAGGCCTCCATCTTCGCGTTCTCCAGCAGCAACGGCCTCGTCCGAGTGCTCAGCAGCGGGGCGCCTCGGGTCGTGGAGAACCAGATTGATGCTAAAAAGGTGATCTCCGACCTTCCATGAGCTGTCTGCTGACCTTTGTGAGCCCCTTTGTTGATCAACCAGTATACCAAGCAGCATGTCGACAGCATGGTGCGAAGCTTTCAACGCTCACTGAGGATCCAGAGCCCTCTAACTGGCCAAGCTCCTTGTCTTTGGCTCTTGTTGTTTGGCTTCATGTGGTCAAGCGACGGAGCCTGCGAGTGACGGCCCTGCGTGTGCGTGCGGTGCAGGAGCTGGAGAAGGACCTGAAGCTGACGTGCGAGCAGTTCATCATGGCGGTCACCAAGCTCATGATCGAGCCGCTGCTCTCCTTCATCACCAAGGTCACCGCCGTCAAGACCGTCAGCGCCAGTGGGGGAGACCCGGTGCCGCTACGCACGCAGGCCTTTGCGCAGGCCGCCAAGGTGCACGAGATCATGGACAAGGTGAGGAGCGGGCGGGAAGGCCGGGGCTGCGCTGGCGTCTGTCTCGCATCCGAGGGTGCGTTCTTGAAAGCGGTCACTGGACATCATAAGACAGGGACTGCCGCGCTGATACCACCTGCCGTGTCGCTTTTCTGAGCTCGTTCCCTGCGGATGGCTGCAGATGGACGAGGCCATTCGGGCGGAGCTGCCTCCCGTGGTGGCCAAGATGAAGGTGTACCTGCAGAACGTGAGCACGCGGGCCATCCTCTTCAAGCCCATCAAGTGAGTCCCCAAGACCTGGCAGCTGTCGATCGTGGCTAGTGTTCGACGATCTGCATCGGTAAACCCCTGCAAGAGGTTGGAGCTTGTCTGGCAGGATGCTTCTCCGCTTGTTTCAAGAGTACCTATCTGCATCATATGAGTAGCTGACATAAATACGTGATCGCCCTTTGCAGATCAAACATCTTGGAGGCACATGGGCAGATTGCTTCACTCATTGAGCAAGAATATGATGATGAAGACAAAGGAGTCATTCAGCTACAAAGTATCGCTGAACTGCAACGAAAGCTCGATGCAGTGATTGGACTGTAAGAGGTCGGTATTTGAGTTTGCACCTTTTACATGATGTGAGTCGTTGGCATTAGTTATGATCATGTAAGCCCAATTATCACCTGTTCGAGAACGTAGTCCTCGGGCCATGCAATCAACACAGTGTTCACAATTGCTTATAACGTCGGCGGCTGCCATATGGCATGCTATAAGCGAACATGATGTTCAACACGAGCATGATGCACAACAACATACAGGTATTACTATTTAAGTACGACCACGCGCCAACTGCAAGCTGCACATCATGGATCATCAAGGCTCGGCCGCCCCATGAATACAGAGCCATGCGATATGCTCTGATGGGCCATGGCCTGCACGGCATGTGATAGGAAACAGTCGTTGCGTACTGGCCAATGGGTGCACGTTGTGTGAGCTGTGACTAAAGCGCATTAGGTATACCTATACCAGGATACACTACTATGAGCTCTACGCAGGCGCTATACTTAGCAGTGTGCACTGTTTATATTCCTCATGCGCCCCATGCGCTGGATCGAGGAGAATGCACCAGATAAAGACATGTGCGCAGGCTCTGTACACATGAAAGTGATTCGGCAGCTGGCCCTTCAATGTCCCAATACCTGCATCCATTATAGCCTTTGGGGTTGGTTTAATCGTTTCACCAACATCTGAGCTCTAAGCCATTCTCAGAATTGCGTATCTCTCATTTTTCCATCAGGTCGTCCTGTTTGCAGACTGGATGATGCAGGTCTAAGGAATCCAATCCAGCAAAATCTCCTTGCACGCGTCTCTCGCTTCATGACCAATCAGCACTCCTGCGCAAACGGAGGGTGACAGGCACAGTTCGGTGGTGACTGTGACAGTGTGAGGCTACCAGTTCGACACCCCCCTTCCGGGCCACATGGACAAGGGGGGAGAGTTCTTGCCAAATATTGATGAAAGTATGAAGAATTTTCCTGCAGTTGGTAAGATAATCAGATCAGATAAGATCACCTTGTAGGCACCGTACAAAGCTGGAACGTTAAAGAACTGAGAAGTCATGTCATTGCTGGTGCGTCCCAGGTAATGTCAAGAGGGACTTGCACTTGGCAGACGTCATGTAGGAAGTTTCTACAGTTCTATTTTGAGGAGTTTCGGATGTAGGTTAAGGGCGCTGGTAAGGAAGTCACTGAAGAGTTTGACAGCACTAGCTTCATCTGCAGGGATAAGTCGTTTGTGCAGTGAGTTAAGCGTGTTTTGCACATGCGGTGACACTGTTTTGTGTGGCTCAGTATCAAAGGCTCAGCGAAATGGTACAACCAGCTGATTAAGATGCAGAACACCAACTCTTGACCTGCAGGTCCTCAGTTTTGGTTCACTGGCCTACTCTGAGGAAAGATATCCTGGTCTTGGTACACAGATTGCTAAAAGAGACTTCTTTCTCAGAAGGAGCCCCACAAAAGCATTGCATTGGTGACCACAGGACATTGCCTCCTGGTAGAATTCCATACTCAAGAGCACATGAGAGCCGCGGAGCTGCCTCCTACCAAAGTTTGATTTAAGGACTGCCTCCTCGACCTAAAACCCCCAAGTACACGTAACAGACTGTTCTTCGGCAATCCCATTTGGACTCACAGTGTTGAAAGATTCCAAGAGAAGGGTGGTGTTAGAAAACACCAGTTTGGTTGGTCAAGTGAGAGTGCTTTGCGCTTAAGCCCTCTCGCCGCGGATACGGCGGGCCAGCTGGATGTCCTTCGGGAAGATGGTCACCCTCTGCAAAAGCATTGCTCTACTTCAGATGCAGTTCCAGTTTCTGTAGATGTATGCAAAGTGTGGACAGCTTAAGAGTCAACCAAGCAGCCTGGATTGATTGAAGATTTGCAACAACTCCAAGACATTGATGGTGAAGCTGTCGTAACTCACCTTGGCATGGATGGCTGCCAGGTTGGTGTCCTCGAAGAGACCCACCAAGTATGCCTCAGAAGCCTCCTGCAGGGCAAGGACAGCATTGCTCTGGAAGCGCAGGTCCGTCTTGAAGTCCTGGGCGATCTCCCTGCACAATGAACGAAGTTACAAATAAACATTTGGACCCTGCAAAGAGCATTGTTTGACGATGGGAATCAAGCTTGTCTGCACAGAAGCAGACTGAAAACAGAAAAGGATCACAGCGCTACGGCTGGCACCCATGCAAGGTGACAGCTGTCGGTTACAAAATCCATTGCAGACTGAGACATAGTGTGCGCACATACCTGACAAGGCGCTGGAAGGGCAGCTTGCGGATGAGCAGCTCGGTGCTCTTCTGGTATTTCCTGATCTCACGAAGAGCCACGGTACCGGGGCGGTAGCGGTGAGGCTTCTTCACTCCGCCTGTCCAGGCAACGCAGGAATGTTGGTGAAACAGGTGACAGGAAATAAACAAGCAGAACAAGCTAGTGTTCAAGTTCACTACATAGGAAAGTGTTTCATGCTGTCAAGATGCATGAAGAGCTGAAAGAGACATGCAAAGCAAGGTGCTGCTGTGCATCTTGTTCTACTCTCCTGTTGAAGCTATCCCTCAATCACCCAGCCACGACCTCAAGCCCCACAGCTTGCCAAATCGCAGAAGAGAGAGCTTCTTTCTCACCAGTGGCGGGGGCGCTCTTCCTGGCGGCCTTGGTGGCCAGCTGCTTCCTGGGGGCCTTGCCTCCGGTGGACTTGCGAGCAGTCTGCTTGGTACGGGCCATGGCGAAAGAGCTGAGCGGCACTGAAACAAAGAGAAGTGGAAGGTAGGAGTGTCAAAGGAGGAACTTTGGAGCTGATGCTGGAATGAGCTGCGAAAGATTGATTTATAGGCAGTCCGAGCTACCGGTACTATCTGGACTCTGCAGCAGAGTTCCTTGCAGAGTCCAGACTGCAGATCCCAGCAGTCCAACCCACTCCAACCTCAAGTTCCGGCGTCGGAGGCCGTGTATCAGATTTAGATGGAATTCAGCCTAGAAGGAATTCGACGGTTCGACAACGCAAAATTTGTATTTGAATTCGCATGGTGATCGGCCCGCGCGTGCAGACCTTATCCTGACCGTCTAAAGCAAACACAATCGACTGGAATCGACGTTTCAGATGTCCAACTTGAGAAGGCAAATAGAGCTCGCTGATTGGCCCAGAAGTTCTGGCGAAAATGAGAGCCGGCCGCGCAAGGCCGGCCGCAGTGACTGCAGTGCTGGCCTGCCCAACTGCCGCAGCCGATCGCTGCACATGTCGCAGGTACGTGCGCGTACGGGGCACTCAGTGGGGCTCTTGAGTCCTGGTATTCGGAGCTTGGTGCAAACGATCCTTCATGTTCACGTTTTCACAAGCCCGCGTGCCCACAAACAAACGCATATTGAAGTTGCTAGCTGATTCGATGTTTGAAAAAGAACACGTACCCTCGGTCGACTTGATGTTGCCAGACGCGGCCTATCCAGCATTCTGGCGGCAAACATTGAGTCCGTCGTCTTTTGGAGCTTCATGTAATCAAAGATCGCGACGTATATACAATGGCTGGCACACGGCTGGCACGAGGAGCCTTAGCGCAGATCCGACTAGCAATCATGTGCATTGATCCTATTATTGCGGCTCGAATATATAAGTGCTGCAGCTTTTGCGCAAAATTGGCCTTGCAGCGGCCGCTATGCATTTAGTTAGGAGTTAGAACCATCCAAAAGTCAGTGTGCAACATACTAGATTTGAGGGCATGCTCAAGAAATCTTCAATGACCATAAAAGAAAATTGCGCAATAGGCAGCCATATGCATGATCCGGCGGCTGCCATTGCAAAACAAGTGCATGTGGTGGCCACGTGTTGGCCGCCAGGACGTGCTCACCAACACAGTGAAAGCAACTACCTACTCAAGAGCTCAGCGAAGTGAGATCATACTTTGTTTTCACCGCGTTCAGACATTAGACATGTGTAAGTATGATCGAAGTGCCTCGGCGTATGTTAACCCGCTTAGAATCCTATATGCACATTGGTCTCGTGTGTCAGACTGCATCATACGCGTCAAAATGCAACAGACGCACTATTGGCTCTATTTTGAGGAGCCCAAATGTACATGCTCAGGCCAATGCAGAAGAACCTGGACGCGAACATCTCGTGCATTCATGTTCATTGAAATTCACTCATGCTCAATCACTCGAGGCGAGAGTAAATACAGAGGATTTTTTTAAATGACCGATGCTTTTGAAAGATCATTCCCGAAGGAGGGAGTCCTTTGGCGCGTCAACTGGTTATTTGACCTTCTCCAACCGGAGTTAGGTTGCGATGGTGGTTGCAGCATACCCTTTCTTGGGTCAGCTGCACTGAAAACAGGCACCTTCAGTCCCCCCGCCACCTCAGTCCTCGGAAGCATCAAAGAAGGTTTCCTCAGCGTCGTCATCCTCCTCATCCTTCCCCCGGCCATCAACGTGGGGCATCGCCCAGCCTGTGGCAGACCCCTTACTGTCATGTCTTCTGCTTTCCCCATCGCCGTTGGTACTTGTGGCTGGCCCTGTGGCACTGACTTGCCCGTTGCGGCTCCTGGCGGCGCCTTGCGCAGACGTGGAGGGCCCTTCCGCGGCGTCTGCTGGCTGGTGCAGGCCGTGCTCCTGGTCGAGGCCCAGGTAGCAGTCCGACACCAGGTGCAGCCGCAGCTCCTGCGCATTCGACACGGGCAAAGTCGTCACAGGGCCGCCAGGGAACCAGGGCAGCCAGGCCCATCACTAGGAAGCGTCTCGACTAGGAGCCGGAAGTGACAAGCACAGCAACCGGACCACGATTTGAAACTATCACCTGCCGTTGCCTGCACCGCAAGCAGACACGACGATAGTGCCACCCTGCATTAGCCTCGATTCGCGCACCTGGTGTGAGTCGGAGGGAAGGCGGGGGATGGTGAGTCGCGTGGTGAGCCTGTCGGCGAGCGTGACCCGCTTCAGCGCGTGCAGCTCGTGCGTGTGGGGTGTGCCCACCACAAGCCACCAGCCCTCCTCCTTGACCTTGGGGAAGCGGGGCGCGTATGCGCGGCACCCCTTGGCCGACCCGGGCCGCCCAGGGCCGACCCGCCGCCGCGTCAGGTGCACCTCCACCTGCTGGCTGTCGCCCGAGGCTGGCTTCAGGGCGCACTGGACGCTGACCCGAGGGAGGCGCGCCAAAGCCTGAGGACGCAGCGACGAGGGACGGCGTGAGAGGGGGTGGGGAAACAAGCAGGTGCGTTGCAAGCCGTGGTGGGCGGGCGTGCGAAAGGCAAAGCTCACGGGAGCGGAGCTCTTAGGGACACGTCGTAGCAGCCGGGGTGACCAACGAAGCAACGGGTGCTCTTGGCGCCGCCGTCCAATGTTCTGAATTTGGGGTTGGGGACTTCCAGATCATCAAAAGCTGAGTCACGTGTAGCAGGGCCATAGCCACGCGGGATACTTTTGTCCCGGTCTGGCAAACAAACGGCGGCACTGCTGCGGGCGCCTACCTGCAGGAGGTCGCTGATCTCGGGCGGGGTGAGCAGGGCGCGCAGCCAGTCGCGGATCCGGTCCGCGGAGAGCGCCATGAGCTGGGGCAGGCCGCGGATGCCGCGCGCAGCCAGCAGCTGGACGACGTCAGCAGTCACGTGGGGCAGGAAAAGCAGCGCGGACTCGTCGTGCCAAGCGCCCTGCAACGGGGAGCGACTGGGTCAGGAAACAAAAAGTAACAAGTAACTTCTTTTGTCTCTTCAAGCGGCGCTTTAAGATAGAAGGGGCCAAGAGCGAAATACTGGTCCCTTACGAGGCAACGGCTTGTTGGCGGAGAGCGGGACACTACGTGGTGCTCAGCCTACGACTCTGGACATCAAAGAGCGCAGGCTAAACGATGGCCCCCGGCTTATTCCCCCTCGAATCGTTTTCTGAGAAGGACAGGACTTTGCGGCTACCCCCGCCGGAGCACGCCGGCCTGCATGCGGTGCGGCGCCTGACCTGGAGCACCATTTGCAGGGTGTGCATGACGTGGAGCGTGGTGGCGAGCCAGCCGCCGTGCGCGGCGATGTCGACCATGGCCTGCAGGATGCGGATGCTCTGGTCCAGCACCGACTTGGTGTCCGTGATGTAGTCCGACACCGGCAGCGCCAGCCGCGAAAAGTGCGCCTGCGCAGCAACGCACGACGCTCCACTGATGAGACTCGAGCGGACACCTAGGAAGGAACCGAGAGAGCCTCGCAAACCGCCAAAGGCCAGACCGACTCGGTGCTCGATTGCAAAACAGACGAATGGTCATAGGGCCCCCCGTCCCGACCCGGCATCTCCAATCCCCAGCGGGCCAGCAGCGAGGGGCATGGTCATGCTGTGCGACAGGCCCCGCGGGTGTCACCTGCAGCAGCAGGTTGGCCTTGATGTGCGGGTCATCCAGGGCGCGCGCGTCCACGGGCCAGCGCACCACGCCCGCCAGCTCCGCATTCAGTTTGTCCTCGTTGTGCCGCACCGGCAGCTCGTCGTACTCGGACGCACCGCACAAAATGCGCAGCACCTCCTGCAAACAGCAAAACGGCAGGCACAGTCAGCGGCCGGAACGCACGGTGCGGTCTCTATCCGGTCACCAGAACGTAAGCCGGTCAACGAAGTGGTATCGCTGAGAAATGCAACAATGATCGCCACCTCGAATGTGACATGAAGTGACGAAAAACAGATATCTGGCGGCCAAGCACGGCTGTCCACGTGAATACTCATGCGCAGAGCCAGCGGCGAGCCAGAAGTGCGCACAGCTTGCGCTGGCTGCTGGCCGCGCCCCGCGCTGACCTGGTGCAGGGTGTCCGCGCGGATGGCTGCGCTGAAGAGCGTCATGGTGGCGTAGTGCAGGTAGTAGAAGGACGCGATGCGGCCCGCCATGAGCGGCTCCACGCTGCCGTCGGCCTCCACCCGCACGCACCCCGCGTCGGCCAGCACGCCCAGCGTCGTGCCCACCAGGCCCGACAGGAACGCGTTGATGGCGTCCGCGCTCGTCTCGGCCAGGCCGTAGTAGCTCGGGTTCATCACCTGGCCAAGCGCAGTGCCAACGGTCAGATCAACGGCTGATTGTCCAGGTACCTGCTCCAAAATTCAGCCGCCAAGTCACCAGCGGGATTCAGAGATCTCGATAAAGGTCCTCAGGAAGAAGGGTCTAACAGGACACTTATTTCCGCGCCCCAGGAGAATCAGGAGCACAAAGTTTAGAGCATGGAATGTTTGCACTATACGAACATGGCCAGATGCGAGGCCGAGCGCTCACGAGGCGGCGGTAGAAGAAGGTCCAGGTGAGGTAGTCGACGGCGTCCTGCGTGCTGCCGATGGTGCCCGCCACCACCTCCGCGTTCACGTGGTCCGGCAGCACGTCCGGCAGGCTGCTCTCCACCGGGAACGGGTCGTACATGAACTGCACATTGTGCAGATTGACCTAAGCACAGCCCGCCACAGCGGCCCCTACGATGCGCTCAAGGTGCAGCTGGTTTCTGGTGATGCAACAACCAGCAGAAGCAGACGATGCGGTTCCAAAAGGGACCTAGTGGCTGGACCAACGGCCGAGGTTCTTCTCCAGCCCGAAAGAGAGACAGATTCCGTGCTCTTCACATCCGGCCGCGGCCGCTCACTTTTTTGATGAAGCTCTTTTTGGGCTCGTGCACCATGATGACGGCCACGCCGTGGTCGTCGAACTGCGGCCGCCCCGCGCGGCCCATCATCTGGAGGACGTCCGTGATGGGGAAGTCCACGTACCGCTTGCTCTTGCCGTCGTAGTACTCCGTGCCCTTCACCACCACCAGGTGCGCCGGGAAGTTGACGCCCCACGCCAGCGTGCTCGTGCACACCAGGATCTGCGGATGGCATGCCGCGCATCTCACGCAAGGACGCAGCGCAATATGACCCCGGCTGCTTTCACCCCTCCAGTAAATTGGTGTGCGTTTGCCAACTCGTAAACCTCAAGATGCTGGATAACCTCTCCTTCGCAAAGACGTAGAAAGATGAGAACTTAGATACGCTTCCCGGATCCAATTGCGGGAGCTGTTGTTGTGAGGGGCACCTGGATTTTGTTGTTGACGAACAGTTCCTCGACGAGCGTTCGGTCCCGCTCGTTGAGGCCGGCGTGGTGCATCCCGATGCCGAACTGCAGCGTGTGCTTCAGGCTGCCGTCCTTGACCTGCTCCACCACCGCCTCCACCTCCTCCTGCGCCATGTTCACGAACTGCCGCGGCCGCTCGTCGCCAGCAGCAAACTGCACACACGGACATCACACCGCTGCTTGAATTCCTTGAACGGCCTTGACTGGTCGTGACGTCATGTCGGCGATGTTACTTCTTGGCAGAACAAAAACGAAGAAAACCGGCTGCAAAAATTAGTGTTCAAAGCAGGCCTGCGCACGTCTCATTTTGCTGACTGCCGCTGTAACAAGTACCAGCAAGCGCACCTAAGACACAACGTGACAAGAAACTCCTGCCGGATGTTACTTCTCGTTCAGCAAGGGCCCTGCGCCTGAGTTGCATGGGAATTCGTGCACCGAAGTTGTTCACCTGAATAAGGTCCAGCGCAGTGAGCCTGGTCTGGCGGCGCGACGAGACGAAGACGAGCACGGGCTTGGAGGGCGAGTACTGGTTGATGGCCGCGTACGTCGGCTTGTTCATGCTCATCATGCGCGGGCAATAAAACTTGCCGGGGTACCCCTGCGAGGAGCAGCCGCCGCGGACCAGTGAGTCCCCTGTCAAACTTTGACAGCAGCTCCTGGAGAGACGCCGAGCCACTCATATCATAATTCAAACGCCACAAAATAAATGCAACTTTCTGACCCGAAAAGGCGACTATGTGAACTCGCGCGCAGGCGTCGGGCGTGGCCGTGTACGTTGCCTCATGCGCGTGGCCGTACCTGGACGTGAACGTCGAGCGGGACGGGCCGCACGCTGGGCTTGAAGTTGAACAGCCCGCGCTCCTCGATGCCGAGCCAGTCCGCGAGGTCGCGCGCGTTGGCGAGCGCGGTGGAGAGGCCCACGAACCGGATGGGCGCGCCCGTCTGGCTGCTCACGTACCGCATGCGCGACACGATCACCTCCAGGATGGGCCCGCGGTCCGCGCCCAGCAAGTGGATCTCGTCGATCACGATCAGGCCCACCTTCTGGACGTAGCTGCAGAAGCGTGCGAAGGCGTCAGCATACCCCTTTTCGCTTTGGGCAGTCGGCAAGCTCTTGCACAGCCCAACCAAAGACCCGTGATCCAGAATTTCGCACCAGCTTAACCTGGGGAAGTACTGCCCTGCTTTAGGAACTTCCATTCAGGCTGTGTCAATCAAGATCCCGCACAGTCAGCAGCCGAGGAACGTTCTCAACAGGAACAGTCCCCCACCTGCGGTTTTGCCAGTTGCGGCTGATGCCGTCCCACTTCTCGGGCGTGCAGATGATGATGTCGGCGGCCAGCAGCGCGCGCATGTCGGGCGTGAAGTCGCCGGTGAGCTCGACCATGCTCTTGCGCAGCGCGGGGACCAGGTTGCGCCGCCAGTCGTCGATGCGCTCGCGCACCAGCGCCTTGAGCGGCGCGATGTAGATCACCTTGCTGCCGGGGTGCGCGGCGAAGAGGCGCAGCATGGCCAGCTCCGCGGAGATGGTCTTGCCACTGCCGGTGGGCGCACCCAGGAGCACGTTCGCGTCGCTATGGTACAGCGTGTGGAACGCCTGCGTCTGGATGGGGTTGAAGTGGGTAAACCGGTACAGCGCCTCGTACTGCGCGTTGCGCAGCGCGGCGAGCGGCAGGGGCCGCAAGTCGAGGAGGTCGGTGTGAGGGGGGTGCTGGTCCGGCAGGATGAGCCCCTTGAACGACACCTCGTGCACCGTCTCCGCGCCGAGCCACGTGTCGGAGATGACGCGGATGTAGTACTGCGGGGGGAGCGGCTCGAAGATGGGGATCGTGAAGCTGATCGCGTGCGTCGTCTCCGCCATCATCTTCTTGGTCAGCAAAAAGTACTCCGTGTGGTACAAGTGCTCGTTCTCCGAGTCCTGCACATCCGGAAGAGGAAAGCCTAAGCCGGGCTGCAGTGAAGCGGGAGAGCCAACAGCGAGTTGGTGCGCAAAGGTCAGCGGAAACAGTAAAAAGAAAATTGGGCTGGGGACAAAAAATAGGACGATAAACAAGATGGAAAAAGCAGCATTAGAGGCCAGAACGATCAGCTACTGGCGCTCTTCAGACTGCTGCAGGTTGAGTGGCGGCTGCGCGCTGACCTCGACCCAGATCCACCACCGCTCAACGGTGCCGTGCAGGCGGTCCTTCCACTCGAAGTGCGGGGAGAGGCGCAGCGTGACCCGCAGCACGTTGCGCGTGATGGGGCTCACGCTCGCGTCCAGCTCCAAGTGCGGGAAGTTGCGCAGCGCCTGCATCACCAGCTGCGCACCAGGAAAGACAAACCCGCTCAGGCCGCTGCCAGCGGAACCGACGACTTTACGAGGTTAGCATACGAACGCCACATCGCTCAGGCGTCAATATCGGTGAGTGGTTCCCCACCGTCAAAGATTGCTCAGAAGCAAAACGGTGCATATGGAAGCAGCGAGAAGCGTCGGAAGTTGCTTGCCTTGGCCCCGTGCGGGTTGCGGATCCGCTCGGCGACCTCCTTTTGGTCCATCTCGAAGTAGAGCTGCTCGAAGTCGGGCGCGCGCTCCTCCAGCTTGCTCATCACCTCCGGCGACAGCACTGTCTCGAACTGCCGCATCGGGTGCTGGTGCGGCCACAGCCGCCGCTCCACCGCCTGCGTATACCGAGAACTCCGGATCTTACTACCTCTGAAGCTTACAGCAGATCAAAAAGCGAGTAAACCCCGTAGGCAATACTTGCGGGACCTCACAATGACTCCCTGCCAGCTCCAGGATAGCCACTCCAGATGACCCCTGATGTGCCCTGCGCAAAGTTCTCCAAATAGACAAAAGAATCGTGGGCGGTGCACGGCGCGCGGCGCTGACCTTGGCGTACTGCAGCAGGAGGTATGCCAGGGTGCACCAGCTCTTCTTGAGGCAGATCTCGAACAGCGCGCGTGTGATGCGCCCGATGCTCTGGCTGATGTACGCGCTGTCCGCCACCAGCGAGAAGCTCTCCAGCCGCGCGCGCCCAATGAAGGCCTGCCACCACAAACAACCAGCCGTTAGGAAACTGCTGAAAGCAAACACCCGCGGAAGGGCAGAGGTCGCCAGTAATAGCCCTTTGTTCTCAACGTCTACGAATAGGCATACAAATTGTAGAGACGCACACAAGTGACTGTCGTTGGCGGTTCACAGTGCAATAAGCCGCGAGCTGCGTTTCTTTACAGCAAGGGGCCGCCTCGCGCACAGAGGGGGGGGCCGCGCCGCTTGCCTGGATGAGGATGTTGATCTTGCCGTGCTTGTCCTCGGCGCCGCCGCGCACGTGCAGCGGGCACTGCTTGCGCATGAGCGTCTCCAGCTCGGGCTGCTCCTCCTCGCGCACCACGATGCTCGAAAACTCGGAAGAGCGCGCCACCATGTACACCAGCTACAACCCACACCCGTGCGCGTCAGCAGCGGCGGCACAAGGCCCCAAAGGAGAACACTTGCAACTCACCAGCCAAAACTGAAGTTAGCTCTATCAAGTCGGTTTAAAAACCCATAACTCCCCGCAGAGAGCTCGATACTAAGCCATGCGGACTGTGGCTGTCACCAATAGACGTATCTCTTCGTATGTTAGCATCTGACTAAATTCTACTAATGCCGCAGAGCACGAACGGACAAGCGGACAGATTATGCTAAAGGCCAGGTTTCGCAAGCTCGCATGTCGTGCTGGCGTGCGGCGCACCTCGGAGTCGCTCATGTGTTTCTTGAGCAGCTCGTTGTAGGTCTGCACGCTGGTGTACTGCAGGTAGAAGTGGCTGGCCACGCGGCCCAGCTCCGACACGTACAGGTTGCCCGTGCGCTCGTCGAAGCGCAGCATCTGCGCCGCGTTCAGGTCGCGCGCCGCGTTGGTCAGCAGCTCCTTCTTGTGGCTCGCCAAGTACGGGTCCACCGCCACCTGCTCCCACGTCAGGCCGTACTGCAGCGGGTTGCTGCGCGCACACACCAAGCGACCGCTCGTCAGCCACGTGAGTGGGGTAAAAACCCTCGAAGTGGACGCCCAACATACTCAAGTAGTATAATCCAAGAAGCGCCGCTTCACAAACCCGTCCCGTCAAAGACTCCTCCAAATACAAAGTTTTGGTCATCGGCCTTTTATGCCGGCTGAAAACCCTGCCGTGGAGACCCAAGACAGCACAAGATAAGCTTCCGTGTTAGCAACCGCATTCGTGCTGGGCAGGCTTTCGGCAAAGTCAACCTTCCCAAGCAAGAATTGAGCCTGACCAGAGCAAACTGTCACAAAGACTTGGGTCAGGAGACCTTGAACAGGAGCAAAGAGCCGAGTGGGGGCGGGTCGGGGCTCACATGCGCATTCGCACGGAGAGGTAGGTATAGGAGAGCCAGGTGATGGCCTCCTTGATGTTGGTCACGGTGCCGAGAACCACCTCCGCGTTCAGATTGTCCCGCAGCGACGCGATGAACTGGCTCTCGATGGGCAGCTGGTGCGTCATCAGCCGCAGGTAGTGCGCCAGCTTGTCGTGCGTCGTGATGATGATGCCCTCGCCGCTCGTGTCGAACTGGGGGCGGCCCGCACGCCCAAAAATCTGCACGTCGGGATGCAGAAGCAAGAAGCTGAGCTGATATAAAGGTAGACCTGCTCAGGTCAGGAGTTGCAGCCTTCAAAAAGCCTGATTACAAATGCCTAGATGCGCATGTACAGAGCAACCGATGCGCAACATGAGAAACGAGAATGGGGGCGAAGCGACTGAGATTCATAAAGCTTAACGCGCAAGCGAGTTTTACAGCAAAAGCCTCTTGCGTTGATGCCTGAGCAGGCTTTAGCCGCACTTGCACTCTCAGTCTCAATCTCGTGATAGATTCCAGCTCTCCCTTTGTTTTTAGCGCACAGACGGCGTCATGTCGAGCTGCGAGTGGCAGCGTGCGGTCACCTGCATGACGTCGAGCATGGAGAGCTCGCGGAAGCCGCCGGCCTTGGGCTCGTACAGCTGCGTGCCCTTGATGACCACCATGTGCGCCGGCAGGTTCACGCCCCACGCCAGCGTCGCCGTGCACACCAGCACCTGCACCGAGAACCGCACCCACGGCGGCTGAGACAAACAACACAGGACAGCAGTCCCATTCTCTATCCTATGAACGGTCGACCCTCCTTTGAGAGGGTTTGTGGTGAAAGAGTTTCTGGTCAGGAAGAAGCCAACCCCAGCAAGGAGCTCAGCCAAACAGCGTTGAAGGCTTTAATCCCCTTCTCGACCCAGCTTTGTGACTTTCTAAGATAGTTAACGCGAAGTAGTCCTCCGAGAAAGGCCGTTCGCGGTCATGCCGCGCGCCCACCTTGAGGAGGCCCATGCTGAAGAGCTTCTCGGTGAGGTTGCGGTCGGAGCGCAGCATGCCGGCGTGGTGCGTGCCAAAGCCGGACGCGAAGAGCTCCGAAATCTCGCGCGCGCGCGACTTGGCCACCTCCTTCTTCCACAGCCCCGCCTGCTCCGTCGCCTCCGGCTCGAACAGGCTCACGTCCCCGCGCTGCGCCGCCAGCTCCACCAAGATGCGCGCAGTCTTCACCGTGTCCTGTCAGCCGGGGGTGGAAAGGGTTGAGAGTCCGATGCCGGCAGAGGAGAGGACGAAGCTGCCATCAAAGGCTTCGCCAAACTGCGGCTGATGCTTACGGTCGCAAAAAAGGCACGCCTTTGCAAATCTTTTGCGTTAGCTTCACGACAGGACAACCCGTTCAACACAAAACTGGCCCGTTGGTTCCTCAGGATGGATCGCCGTTTGTGCTCGCCGTCCCCAGCAGCGCAGGGTGCTTCACCTTTCTGGAGTGGACGAAGACCATGGCCTGCTTGCCGTCCTTGACCGCCCCCACAACCTTCTCGTAGCAGATGGTGTTCATCAGCGTGTTGCGGGTCACGTAGTTCTGCTCGCTCACGCCAATGTACTGCTGCCGGAGCGGAATCTGCACAAATAACGGCGGTCGGCGGGTCAGAAAGGAAGAAGAGGACGCAACGGAAACCGTCATGGGTTTGGCTCGAGAACGCGGGCACTTGCAGTTCGTTCACGGAGCGTCTGAAATTCGAGATCATGTCTATCATACTTCAAACTACATAAAATTCCTGGCGCAAGAGAGATGCGTGTGCTGAAGGCAACAACATTTCCTAGCGGCGAGGTAACTAGCGGCCAGGTAATGAACACACGGGGTTGCGTCGGCCGGGCTGCTCACCGGACGGTAGCTGGAGTCGAAGTAGAAGAGGCCGGTGTCCAGGTTGACCCGCAGGAAGTGCGCGACCTCCTTGTAGTTGGGCAGCGTCGCGGAGAGGCCCACAATGCGGATCATGCTCTGGGTCGCCTCCACCTGTCACCCCACCCCCAGTGCAAACATCAGGTCAGTAGCCCGAGCTTAGGCAAATCTGCTTTTCCTTATACAGGGTCCAGGGACGGGCTCATGTAACCCCGAGTGGGAGTAAGGCAGCTGACGAAAACATGCTCCAACAGACGGGCTCCAACTGCACGCTTTTCAGCGGCGAGTGGCAACTTTGCCGGGGCAGCTGCAGTGCGGCGCGGGCGCGGGTGGCTGACCTGGCGCAGCGTCCTGGCGACGAGCGTTTCGATGACGGGCCCGCGGTCGTCGTTGAGCAGGTGCACCTCGTCGATGATCAGCAGCGTCACCAGCGTCGCCAGCGCCACGTCGCTGCTCTTGCGCGTGATCACGTCCCACTTCTCGGGCGTCGTCACGATCATCTGCGCAGAAGACAGTGGTTTGAGTAATGCTCCTCGTTCCACCTTCGAAGTTTCAGAAGCCCAGATCATTCCAGGATTTGCAGACAACACAAAGCCTCCGCGAAGGCAGGACCTAATGATGTCTGATGCTGCCCTTTTGCAAAGTCAAGGCAAACTTTGTTTCCCCCGCGCTCAGCGCCTGGCGTGCTGGCTTCGGCGGCGCACCTGCGTCTCCTCCAGCTCGCGCTTGGTGAGCTGCATGTCGCCGGTGAGCTCCTTGACGACCATCCCGAGCGGCTCCAGGCGGTGCCCGAACGCGCGCGTCATTTCAGCCGCCAGCGCCTTCATGGGCGCGACGTACACGATCTTAAAGTCCTTCCTCTGCAGCACGCCGTGCACCATGTGCGCCTTCACCGCGTGCAGCACCGCGATCATGGCGATGTTGGTCTTGCCCGCGCCCGTCGGGGCGCACACCAGCAGGTTCTCGTTGCTCAAGTATGCCGTGCGGTAGATGCGGCTCTGGTCAAGCAGAAACAGAGACCAGATTAGAACTCGCCTAGGAGAGCAGCGCAGGCCGAAAGGGGTTCTGTTGAGCGACGAAGCTTTCCAGGTCGTCTGGAACGCCGTTCACAAAAACCAAAGTCAGGGGACTAAAAATGTCTAGTCTTTATGTGCAACCACCCCTGACTCTACACTGTAAGGTTCAGAAATGATGATAATGAAAGAGTGGGCCGAGTTCACACAGACGACGACGCTGACCTGGATGCGGTTGAGCGTGGTATATCCTTCAAAGGCCAGCTGCGCAAACTCGTCCATCTCCTCGATCTTGACCAGCCGCTCCTGCGGCAACATCTCCGCGGTCGGCGTGGCGGGCACGTGCACCTCCTCGTACCCCTTGAACGTCTTGCGCATGGTCCCCTTGGGCAGCGCCCGCGCGTTCACGCCCAGGCTGCCGAAGCCGTCTTCCCCTCTGCCCACAAGACTGTCGATCACGCCCCTCGCTCCCAAGCCCACGTCCAGAAGCGCCACGAACCCCCCCGCCCCCGCCAGCCAGTCCCAGTCCGACTCGCCCTTGCCCGACGCATGTCCTGCTCGCGCCTGCCGCTTCTCCTCCTTGCGTCGCAGCTTGTCCAACACGCGGTCCGAGTCGGTGTGCACGCTCACCTGAAAGCGGCAAGAAACAGGCCGTTGCATGCGCCATGCAAACAAGCGGCAAGAGGCGAGATCAAAGCACCTCGAACAACGGTGCTTTCATGGGAACCCCCTGTTCATTGTGAATTCAGCAGAGGGGGCTGCATTAATCCTTATGTTCAAATGACATGTGTACTGCAGGACACACAGGCCCCAGTCCAAAGCCACAGACAGCAAGCACACGCACTGGGGGCCTGTTTCTCATGGATCTAGTTGCAGATTTAAAAGGCCAACCAAGAACCCGTGGTTTTTTGGTCCTCGGGACGCCAGTGCCCCAGTAGCCCCCTGCCGAAAGAGTGAATGTGGCCATCGCTTGTCTCAACCATCATTCCCTACGAGGCTATGTCTCAAGCGACGTCTGCCCATACTGTTCAAAAGGCCACAGCCTTGCTAGCTTCGAGGCTGGTCATCCAACCCTCCTTCTGTCAAAAAGGGATCACTGCCGCTGCGTAAACCAGAAAAGCGGGCCACCTCTTTGAAACCCCCACCACCAGGCTTTGAGATGCATGGTGCTGCTCCATACCTGCGTGCCGTAGCTGGGCATCCTGGGCTGCTGCTGCGCCTTGCCCTCGTCGTCCACAGACTTGAGCGCCGACAGGGCCTTTTTCGCCGCATCCGTGATGGCCTTCCTCCGCTGCAGCAGCTCCTCGATGATTTCGACCCCCCCGTTTCCCAGCAGGTCCAGCAGGTCCCCTGCCACCTCATCCCCCGACCCCTCGCTGTCCAGCAGTCGCAGCACGTTCAGCGCCAGCTCATCGCCCCGGAACGCCCCTGCCCCGCCCAGGGCACTCGCCGCTTGGCACTGCTGCTGCAACCAGACCAGCGGATCCTTCTCCTCCATGCCCGGCGACTCCAGCTGAGCCCACGAAGTGCCATCGGGCCCCCCCTCCGGCCCTGGCGTCCCTGGACGGTGAGGCACCACGGTCTGCTCGAGCATGCCCTGGCCAGGGTGGGGAGCCGGCGCAGCTGTTCCCGGGGGCGACGGAAGGCCCCAGCTGTCGAGATCATCCTCGTCGTCCTCCCACCACTCCTCCGACTCAGAGGCCCCGTTGACACCGTCCCTGTTGCCTGGTTGGGCATCGTAGCCAAGGGTGTCCCGGAACTCGCGGCTGGGTGTGGGCACCTCTAATTCACCCGTGCTCCTGAGCTTAGCTGCCCAGTCTCGCAGCTGGAGCACCAGGTGGGCGGTGGCACTGAAAACAGGGCCTTCAGTGAGGGTGCCAAAGATGGACACCAGGTCCGCCCTGCACCACAACAAGAAGGGATGGCTTGCACCATACCTCGTGCCTGGCAGCAGCCACTGTAGCACACTTTTGACTAGAAACAATCAATGTCTGCAGGGGGCAAGGAAAGAGGCAGGAAAAAAGCATGTGGTTGCCTCCAATCAACCCTTCATGCTTGTGTGCTTTCAAAAGCAGCTCCGACAGGTACTCCTCTTACCTCTTGTCCGCAAGGTCAGAACGAGCAAACTGCCCCCTCTCATTGAGCTCCAGGTTTGCAAGGCTTTCATAGATGAGGGTTGCCGACTGATGCAGCTCCTCCGACGACGGCTCCCCTCCCAACAATTCCCGGGCAGCCCCAAGGAACTGCTCGTACACCTCACGAGCGGCATGCGGGGCTGCAACACAAAAGGGTACAAAGACAATCGATGCCATACTTTCATGCATCAAGGTCACCTCGAACAGTCAATTCTGCATATGATCAGATAACAAACCCACTGGAAGGGGATGCAAAAGGCTTGCTCGAAGCCATAATCAAGGGAAAAGAGCGCTTGTGTACCTGTGTCCCAGTGTGGAATCAACTTGCGCGCCAGAGCGGATGCGCCCACAGCAGACTTCTGATTTGCTGCCCTGCAAGCTCAAACAAGCCTCTGGTCATGCTCCGCCGAAAGCAACCTATCTGCGAAATGGGCTGCGTAGCACCATCCGCTAACGTGGACATGATTCTGCCCAGAAGCCCATCAGAAACCCTCTACTTTTCTGCTGAGACACGTTCCACCACTTCATCTAGTCATCAACAACTGCCTGGGCTCCTTGTGACTATCTTTGATAACTCCACCTCAAGTGGAATACTAAAGATCCGCTCACCCAAAGAGAGCGCAAGCAACTCACCTTCTTTGATACTCCTCGAGGATTGACTTTCTACGCACGAACTGTTCATAAACATCAAAAGGGTGGTGGCGCTCAGGACCATAGGCTCTTAGCATGGTGGTGAGCCTCGGCACCTGGAGCAAAGAGAGAGCTGATCAGATAGTGCCACCCAGTTCAAGCAGGTGGCAAGCATGCAGCCACACAACCACCACCAAATAATCGTCCGCATCTGAGGCTGCTTGAAGGTGATGGTCTCTTTCAGTCATTGTATACTTCGAGATTTCTTAGATACTGAGTTCATGCTCAGAGGTGGTTGCCATGCTCACAGCATTGCTCTCAACACAGCTCATTAGAAAGCTTTGAAAGGTTCTGCACTCGTCCCCTCAGTTAAGAGGTCAGCTGCATCATCTCCATGCATTCCGCAAGCATGATACGGTGGTACGCACCAGTAATACCAAATGGAACAAGGCGGATTCGATCAGCCTACCTCTTCCAAAAGATTTGCTGGCGCCATGCCATCCATGGTCGAAGAACCTCAGGCACAGATTGGTGAAATCAATGAAAGTGGCCTAAGGCTACAGCAACCCAACTCTCTCACGTAGCTAGCTACCTATGTGCCTTCCTTCGCCCTAACTCTCATGAGCCCTGTCCATGCACCCATGTAGGTAGGCTGTAGCCGATTATGCCGGCCCAGGCCCAGCCGCCCAAGGGCTCCCCCTGATTGAACGCTCGGTGCTTATGTACCGTGCACTTTGACGGCGATAAGGTGTAGGACCCAGCCAATGCCCAATATAGGAATCACACAGGGACCGTACCCAGAGAAGTGCCCCGGCCGGGCACCCCGCCAAACGGTGCGCGAGGGAACGAAGAGGAGGGGCCATGATGCAGTGCTGCCTGCGCAGGCTGCAGCCTCAGGCGAGCGTCAGTCACGACAACTTGTGGCGAGCAAGCTCTTCAGCAAGACCTGTGCGCAATCCTCCCTCGCTTCGAAGTTAGATCTGCGCTGCGCTCACTACCATCCATCCATATTGTGTGAAATATAGAGCATCAAAGTTCCCCTGTGCTCTTTTGTCTGATTTAAGTGATTCTCTCGGGAACAGATTTTGTGACGCAGTGATCTTCTGCTCTCGAGCAAATTGGCTTTTGAAGGAAGATTGGTTTGGAAGCGTTGTTTTGAAGCTGTGTCTCTGCCAGCCGCAAAACTGCTTCATTGGTCATTTGGCCTCCAAACACCTTTAGAGTGACGCACTGTGCACGGCAGGGCACTTCAGAACAAGATGACCACCCCTTCCAGCAGCTCTCCAGCTGCAACTGTGTCACCTCTTGCCAAGTACAAATTAGTTTTCTTAGGCGATCAGTCTGTTGGGAAGACGAGCATAATCACCCGGTTCATGTATGACAAGTTTGACAACACATATCAGGTGAGAATCTGCACTCCTTTGGAAGATTTCCAACCTCAGATCTTAGTAGCCACCTTGAGTCTAAGTGAAGTTTGTCATTCATATGTTGCGTGCTTTAACTCAGAGAGCTGAGATTACTCTGTCCAAAATTCAGCATTTGATGACTTCTTTCAGCTCTGTTATCAATCTTGCATATACAATTGATCTTTCTTCCTTACAGGCAACAATCGGCATCGATTTCCTCTCAAAGACCATGTACTTGGAGGACCGTACTGTTCGCCTGCAGTTATGGTAGGTGAAACCCTAATGTTATGGGGATGACAAAGTGCCTCTACTAGTGGTTTGTGTCCTGCCAAGGCAAGGCCTGGGGCGAACCTTCAATTGGTGTTCCTTTGCCAGTTGTCAAGTTTCATTTGGACTATGCTATGATTCTGCACAACATGCCCTTCCATGGGGGCTGACATTTGGGAGATCAATTGCAGGGACACAGCGGGCCAGGAAAGATTTCGCAGTCTGATTCCTAGCTACATCCGGGACTCCTCGGTGGCTGTGGTTGTGTATGATGTTTCAAGTAAGACATCGATCACGCGCATTTCATGTCCTGCTGTAATTATTGAGCCCTGTCATGCAATGAGCGGTCACACTTAAACTTACGACTACTGTGCACTGCTTGCCAACTCTCTTGAGTTGCAAACATGGCTGTATTGAATCAACCCGTCAACTCGACACGTTCAATGTTTTGTGACAGAGGGCTCCAGATCCTTCTTTGATCAGCGCAGTGTCAATTTGCAGATCGGCAATCCTTCCTGAACACAGCGCGGTGGGTCGAGGAAGTACGGACAGAGCGAGGAAGCGACGTAATCATTATGCTGGTTGGGAACAAGACTGACCTGGTAGACAAGAGGTGATTTCTTAAAGACTTGCCTCGAGTCAAAGGTCCAAAAACCAGTTTGTTTGTTGAATCTTCAGTTTGTCTCATGCTTCGTGTGGACTCCTTTGCGAATTTGTCACCCCATGTCACCACGCAGAATAAGACTTTTCGTTTCTGATGAGGATTAAATGTAAGTCCTTCGACCATGTTCCTTGGGTTACTTGACAGAATCATGATCTACACCTCGCAGGCAAGTTTCAATTGAGGAGGGGGATGCAAAGGCTCGAGAATTTGGTGTTATGTTCATTGAAACAAGCGCAAAGGCTGGGTTCAACATCAAGGTGAGAATCCTGCATAAGCTGGTGCATATGTCTGGTTGCACTGTACTGTCGACCTTCTTAGCTGCAACAATTTCCAATTAGGTACTTGTTCTGCTTATAGCATGAGGCTCCCATTCATTCAGCAAGAAGCTTTGCCTACAGCCGGAACAGGTTAGTCCACTGGCGCTGAACCACTTGAATTTCAAGTGGTTTTACGAACTTATCCAGGTGACTTGACCCCGCTCTTTTCTTTGCAGGCTTTATTCCGGAAGATTGCAGCTGCTCTGCCGGGCATGGAAGCTCTGTCCGCTTCCAAGCAAGAGGACCTCGTGGAAGTTCAACTAAAAACGCAACCATCTCAATCACAGTCGGGCGAGAACAAGGCCTCGGGATGTTCGTGCTGATAGTGGTTGACAGTAGTATATGTTCACCTAGTCAGCACCAAAACACGTTCATTCTGCTCTTGTCCCAAAAATGCTCATTCAAACGATCATACTATATGTGTTTGCTCCTTTTACCGTTTTCATTTCTCGTCAATGACTTGTATCACGCTTCGTACGGGGTCATAAAGGTATGAAAGAGTGGTAACAACCCTGTAATAAATCCGGCCCCGTAGTCCATTGTTGAACATGGGAATAAGTGTTTGCTATAAATTACATCCGCACACGTATTGGTCTTCTAGTGTGGCCGCGACCTTGACTCAGTCGTTGATGCGCAAAACTTAGCCAATCGCGGCGGTGCAAGATCTACGTAGCACAGCGCCAGAAATCTTGACATGCTGCATTTTCGTTGAACGCGTTGCATATAATGCAGCTGTAGTGACAAGTATCACTGTCTGTCATGCAACGTATATACCATGAAGTCTCTCATGCAGGATATCATGGCTATATTTTCCAACTGCACTGAGTGCGGTTATATCATGCATCTAGTATACGGTACATGTACACTGACCGGCTAATTGCATGGAATATCGAAGAGCTTCGATAGGCTTGCTTGCGCGGGGAACGGTGGGCAGTATGCGATCGCTCAGCACGCTTTATCAGCTATAGCCTCAGATAATGCGCGTGTGCAACATGCAGCACGCATGCAATATCTCGATTGAAGGAAAAGTAGGGTACGTAGCGCGCGAGCTAGTCGCAAGCTGAGTCTATGTATATGCTCTCGACAGGCTGTTGAGGATACGGACTAACAAATAAAAGGCTTACCTCCAATTGAAAGAGCGTACAGCTAGCTTCGGTAGACATTCATAAACTTTATACGATTGAAGCTGCGTCGCGCCGCCCTTGAATCGCCAGGCGCATTCAGGTGTGTTTACGATATACGCCATCTTTCTACGAGATTGGATGGCGCGGCCTGGCCCTCAATGCCGGGGCCATACTATTATTGTAACAAGATAAGCTGGGTCAGCTCGCATGTCTAGGCGAAGCAGCAATCTAGGGGCGTTCCAGCGGGAGCTTTACCTTCGACCTTCACGACGGAGGACGAAGTAAGATTATACTTATTTCAATCCTCAGCATGTATGCCGGGCAGATCTTATGTGCAAGTCCGTCCGCTTCCCTGCTTATACCATGGATCGAGCCGTTTGCGACGTCGATCCTACAGTTCCGTGGGTCCCTTGTCATTGCATGCCTTGTCGATTCTTCGAGCTTCTTCATCCGCTCAACCAACCAGCGAACCCTCGAGGAGGCGTACGCTGCGTGGCAGCAGGAACTCGATGTACACGGGATAGTGATCCGACGGGAAGCGGCCTTCCTTATTGTCCACCACAACTTCGGCAAAGACGGGGGCCAGTTGACGTCCTTTGAAGAAGACCCAGTCGCTGTGTAGGTCTTGATAGTTTCGGTCCCAACACATGCAGAAGACCCGGTAAAAGTGCTTGAAGCACTCCCAGCAACCTTGTTCCTCCCCTGCACAGTGGCCCAGAAACAGTCGTCACGGCTGCAACTCCCTAAGTCGTGGGCATTGGCGATACCAAAGCCAATTTTAACTCAGAGGACTTCTGAGATGACATTGATCTCAAGATAAGAAACCCGTTCAAGAGCTAGGTTATTAACGAGAGAGATCTCGTCAACCTCAATGACGTCCAGTGAAGCCTTTTTGTGGTGGTAGCAATTGGAAGCAAACCATCATTCATTGAACCGTTTCTTTGCTTCGTTTGTAAGCATCGGATCATTAGTAGGCGGTATCCTTGCACAGTGCCCGTTTAGTGTCACGTAGTTTCTGCCCTTTGAAGATTAGCTTAGACAATATCCCTCACCTCTAAAACCATGGTTTGTGTGCACGATACCCCCATTCCTTCGCCGTCGTGCGCTTTGCCAGGCGTCCCGCAAGTCGCCTTTTTCGTTCAACAGTCTGCATTCAAAAGAAAGGCCGTACTGGTCTATACACATGAAAGGCAAACGAGGAGCTGAAATCCAAGTTGCGAAGCTGAGTGAGGCTAATCTTAGCCGAAGCCTCTGTCAGATTGAAGCCAAACTGCTCGTGAATGACGGTGTCCGGGGAAGCTGCCTCGGAGTTTTCCTCAAAGGGCTGTTCGACCACAAGAGATGCAAGAGACATCCTGGAGGTATGATGAATTCAGCTCCGTCATACTTGACCTTGCAAAAAGAACCCGTGATAGCTAACCGTATTCCCGCCACCTTCAGCAGATTAGGCTCATTAGTATGAAGACTGCAAAATGTGTTGTCCTTGTCCTTAAAAACTAGGTAAATGAATTGACTCGTAAGTAGAATTGACAGCTCCTGACAGTTCTAGGTTTCGACTGAACTAGGGAACGCTTCTTGAACATAGCCGCTATGCTCGATTGACAAGTTGACTGTACGAGACAGCTGATAGGATGATTGATTTCAGAAGATTTTAAAATGAAACCCACCTTGACCGGCCCAGGAAGAATCGACCAACGTCGGACTCTTTATCAGTGTTGAAGTCTCCGCAAAACACCACTGGCAGTGTTGGTGGAAGCGAAGCTACATGCTGCCAAGCAAGAAGGGCACCGCGCCTCCTTGCATTACTGCTCTTGTCGTCTAGCTGCGTATTCATCACCTGCAAGGATTACGTGGTTCCTGCGTCTCGAGCATAGAGAGCTTGGGGTTCATACGCCCTGAGAAAGATACGGAAAGAAGGCCCCGCTTCCTTGCTTTGCACGAATCATTTCTACATCTGATAAGTTGGGCTGTGCATACAGTTTCCAAAACAACCTACCGTAGTGACAGTGCCATTGGTACCCACTTGATGCGAAGTTCACTCATGAAGGTTTCCCACCCGCTTATAAGATACTCAATTAGTTCTTCTCTCTTGCCGGGGCCAGTTGCACAGTCGTTCGCTGGCAGGATTTGGATTCTCTCCGATAACGTACAAAGGCCGAAGCTTAAGCTAAGATTTTTCCGCAGCGGCGTAGTAGATTAATTGTTCGAATGCAGATGGGAACGTTGCAACGGTACCTGGAATGTAAAACCAGGTGGGTGAAGCCGCCGTATTTGGAATGTTGCCCAGTTTGCTATGCGAGGATGTGCTGCACCCCAGGACGTGCTGCCGGGCACCGAGGGTGTCTCTGAAAGCCAGAAGGTCCCACCATCGGTTCGGTCGATCTGGTTTTGAAGAAACGGACCAGGTCAGTCAGTGCTGCCAGAAAGCATAATAGGTTGTATAAATGTCGCTCGACCTGCGGAATCTTGCTGTCCTAGCAGTTTCTGAGGATAGATGTTTGGTGCGGAGTAAGATAAAGTCAAGCCAAAGCTGCAGTGGCTAGAATATGCTCGCAGTGTCAAGCAAAAACCGTTCCCTACAACCAGGTAAGCGCACCTTTGTAGCATCGAAGAAGATTGCACAAAATTCGTCGCCCTTGTCATCTGGTCCCTTCCTTGAGCACCCAAAGTAGTCATATCCTGCACAAGAAGCAATACCAGCTGCATGAGTACGACCGTCAAGCAGGAAACGTCACAACCTTCCATCCACTTGCTCGTCAGTTAACAGTGCCTTAAGTGCTTTGGCCTGGTCATACATATTTCTGTCATGCTGGGGCACGAAACACTAAGTGTTTGGCTGCTTGCCTGGTAATGAAGCTTTCAAGTACTCAAGCTGGAGATGAAGGCCTGCAAGACACGCATAATCGATATTGTGTCAGTTCCAGCTCAGTGAACTAACTCCCCAGGACTTGTGACAAGGATAAGAAGCTTTGCTACCAACGGCTTACTGCAGAAGTGTCTCAGAGGTGCAGATTATGCAAATCAAGCAACTTCAAGTCCCCCGATCGTTGCTACTTCACCACTTTGTAACATTAGTACTTTTAACTTTTCTTCCCTCTCTGGGATGCTCACCGGCTTGAATACAGAAGATGATGGGGCGAAACTTTTTGAGTAGGTCGACACAAAGCTCCTTTCTGCGAGCCCAAGGATTGCTTCCATCGCTGGGATCTTGCCCGCACAGATTCAGCGAGAGGAACGTAATTGACAGACTCATTGCCCCTGACAGGTGTTTACAAACTCAAATCGAGCTCGAGTTGCTGGACCGTAACAAGAAAAGCCGAAGCTTGAACGAATTTATGCATTGGAATCAGGCTCTGTTTATTCTCAGTCTCAGTCCCTTCCCAGTTCACGAGGTCGAATCCAATTCCGTTCAAAATGTCCATCTGCTGCTCTCATTCTGTTATAGGGACACAAAGAGGATGGTATAGCTTGTGGTGCTCCGCCAGATCCTAGTCGCTGCTTGGACAGAGCATTGTTCATGGAGTTGAAGATCAGCAGGGAGAACGAACTTCTACCGACATAAATCTTAGACTTACGCCAACACTGTGACCTAGGTAGGTATGTAAAGTCCTACATACCTAAATGGTTCCATCTTTCATGCACCTGACTTCAGACTCGACAAGCTCAAGACAGACTGGACGCATAATTCTACTTGTTGATCAGCCGCCCGCCAGCTCACTGCTCAGCTTGAGTCACGGACGGCCCGTCAGTAGCTGCAACGCTCGCGTGCAACTTTCTCGACGGCCTCCATTGACCCTCTGATTCAATCGGATGGTCGGAAGAACCCGAGAGTTGCTGGAATCCGCATCATATGTTGTCGACGTGGACGATGGCAAGAGAGCCGCGAGAATATCCACCATGACCGTTGGATATTTCTCTGGGAAGATACAGAAACGTCTAGCCGTGTGCACGTATGGTAACGTACCCAGAGAATTCTCACTATTGCCCCAAACGATTCGAAAAGCGTGATACCGTACCTCGGCGATTGGTTGCGCCTTCTTGTCCTTCAAAATCGAAGCGAACCTCGTTCCGGGTTCGTGCTTATCCATTCCTGTCGACGGGTACTTTTGAAACCTGGATACCGGTAGTAGGCCGCCGGGCCGCCGTCAAAGACTCAAAACGTTGCGTACACAATGTCCACGTGTTCCTCCGTACCCATCGAGGGTACCGTGGTACCTGTGCCGTAGACAAGCGGCAGATGCCTCCGCCGGTACGTACCTACTGTAGGTCCTAGGTACCTTGTGGCTCGAGCCTCGAAGGCTGCACGGTTCGTGTGAGGAGAATCAAAGGTTCAGCCTCACGACTCAGGAGCTTTCGAGCACCTCTGCCATCTTCTCGGTCCTCGGCCCTCGTCAGACCACCTCACTGTCAGCTTTTGTAGAAGTGTCCTTACTTCCTTCTCGTGGTCTTTTGTCCTGACTCCTGACTCCTTGGTTCGTTGTTGTTTGTGCTTTGGGCTTCCAGAATCAAGCCATTCTGTAGGCAAGAACGAGTGTCCCTTGCTCGAGCTGCATCACCACTTTTGGCAGATACTCGACTGTTCTGAGCTACTACTCGGACGTTGTGCCTACAAGTATCTTCGGGCGACGGAGAGTATCAAAAGTCCTGGAAGATTGTTGAACACAGGAGGAAAGGTTGCTATTAGTTGCAGATATCTGGTTAGAAGGTACCACTTGTTCGATGCATAACCCGGCTGCCCACAATGGAAGGGCAGTAGCGGGAAGTAGAGGAATGGTGTCATCGCCAGCCTTCTCACTCGGCAACACTGAGTACAGCCACGTGGCTCTTAAACTTCCAAAACTTCGTCTACCAGAAGCACCGAGCAGCTCTTCGGTATTGGGCATCCAAGCGTCTCCCCGCACACCCCGCAGAAAAATAGGCAGGCTGAATGCCGGCGCTGCACTCACCTTTTTCACAGTTCCTGAACTGTCAAGTGCTGCCAGCTACGATCCAAGGGGTTGTTCACCAAGCTCTTCCCCTTCAGCATCCCCAATTACAAGCCCTGTCCACCCATGTTTAAAAGTGAGGGGCACCTTTTCTCTGGAAAGTCGTTCATCTGTTTTCGCCTCTGGTTCTCACAAGTCCCTCAATGGACAGAACCACCAGCGGACCATTTCAGGGGTGCATAGGAGTAAACCGCCTGCAAGAACATGCGCAAGAGCGCAGTCATCTGAAGGGGAGTCTGAAGGGAGGGCCACCAGGGATGGGCTCACCACGAAGGAGAAGAGCCAGATGGTCAATGAGGAGCTCCTGCTGTTCTTCTTCCAGCTGGACCTGGGTACAAGGTTGCAGGTGGGTTGCTAGGCCAGTCAGAGTTTTGCACTAGTCTTATAAGCAGGGGATTTGTGCTTCCAGACGGCAGGTAGCTTACTTCAATTGTTGTCAATGATCATCCACAATTATCACTATGGGAAATTCTAAGGGTTTTGTTGATGCTGGTGATTTTGCACAGGTAAGCTGGAAACATTCTTCTGCTCGTCCCTTTCGGCTAGTTCGTCCCTCCCGGCAATTCCATTGTGCCAGACACGTTGTTCTTACAGACAATATAACAGAGGTTTCATTGTTGCTGAGGAGACAGCATAGATGCTTGTGATTCCGTCAGCATTCTCTACTGAAAGCTTGTGTCTCTCTGCAAAGCAATCAATCATGTCAGTTGCTGATGTTGTGTCGTTGTGGCAGTGCCCGCTTTCAAACATTCAATTCTTAGGCATTGCTCACTGCGTGCTTCAATGGCGCTGTTGCATGCCTTAATGGCTCATTTCTGGGTACAATGCCGACAGTTTTTTTGGGTATGGTGTGGCTTTTTGCACAAATTTGGTCACTGGGCATCTTAAAGGGAAGCCTTTCTTTGGGGCGAGGCACTTCCGTTACTGCGTTGCCGTCACCATGTCTGAGAGTAGCCACACTTTTGAAGAATGTTGAACTTGTTCAAATTGCAATGAAGACTGCCCATCAGGACCGACTTTCATTGCCAAGGGTACAAGTCTGACCAAGGTCTTCCGGATACTCAGTGGTGCTGTGAATCGTTGAACGATTCGTTGGTTGAAATCAACAGTCAGCTGGCTTCCTACTTGAGCAACTGTGTAGCAATTGGCATTTCATTGTGTACTTCCTTCTGCGGTGGGCCAGCCTACCTTCTAGGCATTCGTTGTAGCTACAGCGGTCCCTCAATCCTGGTGGTGGTGCTTTGTCTGCAGCGGGCAATGAATCAGGAGCAGTATGAGGCTGCTGGCGAGCTGCGGGAGAAGATTGTGGGGATTGAGAAGGAGCTGGAGAAGCAGCGGCGCGCCAAGCGGGCCGGCACTGGTCCTCGGGAGGAAGTGACCGACACCACGGTTGCAGCGCTGAGGTTGCGCTCAGAACTTCAGAGGGCCGTAGAGGAGGAGAATTATGAGCAGGCGGCTGCAATTCGGAAACAGCTGTCAAAAATCGAGGTGAGGAATCCTTCAGCATGTCGACGCTCTTGTCTATCTGTCGAAGGAATGGTAGAGAGGCTTTTGAGTCCGATGTGCCGTGAGACAAGGAATTTCGCTTCTCCCAGACTAGACAGGGGATTGCTTGCTGAAAGGGTATTGGCATCGTCCAGGAAGGTATCTTCTCTTTTGACCAGCTTTTAGTGTTTCAGGGGGGCTACTGCCAGGAGCTGATTTTTGCACCTCCGTCCGTGCAGTTGGATGCTCTTGCCGCTACCGCCCAGACATTGACGAGCACAGAGGTCAAGTTTAACTTTCGGTTGGGGCAGAAAATACGGCATGCACAGTTGGGGTACCGAGGGGTAATCTGTGGGATGGACTGGCAGTGCTTTGAGTCGTCAGAGTGGATGGAGAAGAACGGGGTGGACAACTTGCCGCGGGGACGCCAGCAGCCCTTTTACCAGGTGCTGGTGGACATGCAGCAGAGCCCAAGCACGCTGGTGGCCTATGTCGCCGAGGAAAATGTCGAAGTTCCGGAGGAAGAGGATGAGGTGAGACAATCAGCTAGCCAGTTTTGCGTTCTTCGGTTCTTGGAGAAATGGAAGATGGAAGATAGAAGCCCGGTAGTGGTGAGAGCGGATTGTCAGGGCAGCACGCTTTTGGTGAAGCCGCAGATGAAGTTCGTGCACTCTAGCTGGCTTCGTGCGCGCTCAAGAAGAGCTTATTATCGGAGAAGAACTGATCTTCAATCTGTGAGAATCAGAGGGGGAGGCATACTTTCTTCGAAGGCTGACTTAGATTCTGTTGATGCAGGAGCCATTCCCTCATCCTTACCTGTACCTTCTTTTCTATGGGCAAGACGCGAACGGAGATTTCATTCCTACAAAGCAGCTTCGGGAGAAATATGATGCACCCCGGCACGAGCTGCCTTATGACCCTCCAGAGGAAGATTCGACAACAAGCGAGTCATGAGTTGCAAGAGATTTTCGAAGGGTGGGGGTACAAAGCATGTCTGCGGTCTGCCGGCCTCCATGCATAACAATTGTGAGTTTCTATCATAGGACGGAACTATGTAGATTGCCTTGTTCTGCGGCAAGAGTTCCGTTGCACAATCGAACAGTCAAATGTGGTCTCGTCTTAAGCTTGATCGAGCTCTCCTTTACATATTCGTGTTTTAGGATGCCCGTTGTCTACATCATGTCAAAGTGATCATCATGACTTGCAGCCGTAGTGCAAGCTGCAGAGTCAACAAATTATCTTGGGTCTGCGGGAGACCGTGCTCTATGGCCATGGTGGCTAATGGCGTTGATAAATTTGAAGTTACCATCGTCAATATTCCAGGTTTGACTAGCCAAGGAATTTGAGTGTATTTTGGGAGTTTCCAAGCACGTTGGTCGGTGCAACACATGTTGGTCAAATGCTCTTTTGCAATATCTTGATTGCGCTGCATGTTGTCATTTGGTTTATTGTTATACATGCATAGCTTATATCCAAAACATCAAGAACAACAACAATCTCCATAGGGCGGTCTGAACGCATGCCATGATGGTGGCGCTACAACATGGGCGCATCTTTGTGTTAGAGTGTCAACGTACTAGCTTGACTGCTCTCAAATGCTTTGGACCGAGCAGAGCCATGCTTCGAAATGCCATCTCATATTTCGAATAGCGTACATGTTTCACAACAATTGAGCACCATATCGCGAGGGTGCATTAAGCCTTTCAGAACGATCTCCAAATTTTGCCAGTTCAATATGCGTTGGATCCTCACAATCGATTGCGTGAGCAACTTTAAGCTGGTCATGTTGCAAACTCAACACCATATTACGTAGATGATAGGTGCTATGTACAGCCTTATATAGCAGAGGTGTCAGGCCTAAGGCTAAAGAAGAGGCTGCATGAGTTACGCCACAATACCGTAGGTCCTAGTAATTTTGTTCAAATGCCAGAGCCCTGCCAGAGCTCACAACTTGACAGCTCTTCAAATTCGTGAGGATTTTACGCGTGACGGTGGTAGGTGTCCTACGCTACCGCCCCAGCCAAATACCGAGCTTCTTTCTTGGAGCACGTGGTCGGTTGCAGCAATCTCATTGGCTCGCTAGGCTGAAATCAAAGAAAGAAGCTGTCCCATTTCGACTGGTGCAGCTGCCAGCATTTGTGCAACTTGGCATTTGCGTGGGGACTGCAGCTAGAATTCGAAATCCTGTGCAGGGAACTGAACAGCAGTGCGCAGGAAGTGTAGTTAGCAGGGGTACAGAGCATGCTGTGCAGCGCTGTACTCTGCTTGCTTGCGCTCATACAGCAAGAGGGGCCTGTGGCACAGAGAAACACGAGTTCATGATTCTGACGCATCATTTGCAAAATCTGGGTGGTTGGATTGAGTCAATTCAAAATTCATACGCAGCATTGAAAATATGGTTGTGAATGGGACTCGTCTACATGGTGTGGCAAGAAAAATCCGACAATTGCCTCTCATTAAGAGCTAGTCACTGGTATTTTGTGGAGAAAGGAGATTGCCAGCTCCTAGATATCAGAGTGGTTTTTAGGAGAGGACGTGGAAAAGGAATGAGCGTGGAGCAAGCAGCCGGTAAGTGCAATGCGGCTGCCTAGAGCACTGCTTCAGCCCAAGCAAGTCAGAAGCTTTGACGGTCTTCTAGTCTGTGGTGTGACAGACTGAACTATTTTGAGTCCAATGGAATTGGTGCGCAATTTTGGACTCGCTGAGTGCAACTATGGGGATGTGGCTAACCTATCTCTTTGTTGCCCCTTCCCCTGATTTGCTTTGACTTGCATAGCTGCTTCTGCACCAAGATCTCAAACCAGATTCACTTAATTACAACAGAATGCAACTGGAACCATTCATCGAACTGCTGTGTGAGTTAGACTTGTCTAAAAAGCGTTCGAGCACCTCGCCAGTGGTCTGCCATGCCTTCAAAAGATTCACGTGCTGTCTGAAGGTGCATGACAGGGGATATTTAAGAAGCTGTGAATGCAGAGGTGTTCATCGCAAGTCAACCGATCGGTGGATTTTGGCATTTGTGTTTTTGTCGTGTCCCCTGGCATAGATGGTGGCATTGCACAATCTGCAGGCAAATACAGAAAGTATTTATAGAAAGGGAATCATTTATTGAGCAGATATACTCTGGCTCAGATGAAGCACCTCGTTTGAGAATCATTTTCATTGGCAGGTGCTTTGCCGACTGTGGAGAAGAGTGTCAAAGAGAAGGTGAGGGGCATATTGACTCAGCTACAAGAAGTGCAATCAATTACAGCTCCAATACCTTGAAAACTGGCTTTATCTGAGGTCAGTGTAAAAGCCAAGGTGGTACCTTTTACCAAGCACTACAGATGCTTTCTGATAAGACGACATCACAAGGTCCAAGGGGTTTGAGAAGGATGATTCCAGCTGTAGACCCTGTCCCTCAACATTGTTGCAGGTGGACTTCTTGTGCTACATGCTCTTGCTCTCCCATTGCAGGTGGACTTCTTTGAGAAAGAGATTGGCAGAATGAGCCAGCAGGAGGAGCACCATCGAGGGACCAGATCTGAAGATCGGTCTGAATCTGAGCAGAAGCTGGAAAGTACTCAGGATGAGGACACAGAGCAACTAGCAATCTCTAGCAACGGACACAGTGATGCTGCAGTGGGGGTGGGAAATCAGGGGACACAATCAGGCAAGGGACAAGGGACGGGCACAATGATGTATGAAGATGCAAAAGACCTTGTGGGAGCCCAAGCCCCAGACAACATCGCGACCACCGCAGTGCCAGTTGGAGTTTCGGGCTTGGTGGATGCTGAGAGCACCTTACCAGAGAACCAATCAGTCACTCCAACACAATCGAAGGTACCCTCTCAAAATGGAGAGTTCTCTTGCGCCATGTCGAGGGCCTTGTGATGCTTTGGAGAATGGTCACTGACTAGCGCTGCAATCCAATCCTTGAGTTCAAGGGGATGATTGTCATGTTTCAATCTTGCCACCTTGAAGCTCTGATCTGGCTAAGGTTGCACCTTATGGTGACATTAGCAACAATGGTGGATAAAATTCTCTTAGTCTCCTTCTCTGTATGTCCCTGCACAATTATCGCACAGGTTGACTGCACAAGGGGCCGGTTCTTAGTCCGACTGCCAAAGCTGGTGTCTTGTTCGAAAGGACGATTTCTGTCTGTCAAGCTCACCTGATGAACCTTCTACAAGCTCAGTCGGATCTCTGATGCTGACTCCTAGAGCCGTTTGCATCGGAACTGCTCGTTTCTTCCGGCGCTTCAACGAATTTGACACTTAGATTTGTGATCTCTGTGCTTCGCAAGCATGTCTCTTCTCTCCTCTGTTGCAGTCAAGCCCCGCAGCTCAGAAACGTCCTCAGACGGCGTCCCCTTCAGCAGTCAGACCACTTTCTGCCTCCCAGGATTTTACTGGTTCGCAGACCGTAACCGTGCCAGAGCCATTCCGGTTCTCGCTTGACAGCAGACCGCGGAGATCCTCAGATGGCGGGGTTCAAACTCCCCCAGATGCAGCAAAGAGGAGGCCGAGGTCCTCGAGCCACACTTTTGGCTCTTCTCCCAAAGACCTCAAGGTTAGATGCTGAAGGATCTCTTGAGGCCAAAAACGTTTTTGGACCAGACTTTTAGTGGACACGGCACCATGAGGCTGATGCACTCGACCAGGCATGCTGGCAGGGGTTCACCAACTCAATCGAGAAATAAAACATCCACTTCTTACCAGTACTTGTTTCATCTCGCTACCTTCAAACGCATAATGAGAATCTGAACGAGCACCCGCTGATTGCAGGGCCCGAAGCTTCACTAACAAACCATTCCCTTCGCTGCAGGTTGTGTCTTCAACAGGTCGAAAAGCACAGACAACGCCACAGCCTTTCAACCTCGAAGGCCTCAAGTAAGCAAGCACCCGTCTGGAATCGCGAACTGTACTCTTGTGACGCGAGAACACCGTTTTGAAGGTTCGGTAGTACCACAAGCAACTCTGTGCGTTGCAAGTCTTTAGCAGCTGGCCTTCGCGTGCATTATGATTGAAGCACGCCAAGTGGACAATTTCCGGGTCTTGCAGGCGTCACGAAAGAGCTTTGGAGCAGTTGAAGGCAGATATAGCTGCGAAGGAAGCTGAGGAGACTGCTCCCAGGAGCTTCAAAGCACGGCCAATCCTCAAGTGCGTACGTTCCTCCCACTCAGCTTGTAGACCGTTCTGCCTGGTGACTGCAGCAATCATCGCCGCACCTTCGGAGTCTGCTGGATTCAAAGCGTTTGCACAAGACACTGATCCTCTTTTGACTGCCCAGGCCGGATGTAGCGCCCTCTCCGCGTGTTGTGCCCCCTCCAACAAAGCCGTCAGCTTTCAAGCTCTCCGTAGAAGATCGAGCTGAGAGGCGAGACAAGGTAGGTTCGCTGATTGTATTCAGGACTTGCACTGCAAGGTCCGGAGCGGCTAAGGTCCGATAATGTCTCTGCTGGGCTTCTACGGATAGCGCCCTCCGTTCGGCATGCAACGGTGTTTCTCTTTCCTTCTTCGAGGTCTCCTTGTTTATAAAAATATGTTTCAAGCCCGACGGACTCAGCATGGTCTTGTTCTTTGTGATCAAAGTTTGGGAAGTTTGTATGGTTCGCACGTTTTGCCGCAAAGGGAAGGAGGTATGCGGCCACTTGACGACGATTGTCGGGGGATATACTGAACTGTCCTTCAGATTTACTGAAGTTCATTATTCCACTTCTGCAGTTTAAGAAGCAGGTCGAGGATCGGGAGCGGCAGTTGGAGGGCGAACGGGAGAAGATGTTGCAGGAATTGAAGGTATGCCATTCTCTGGGTACAAGCTCCTGTTTTTTGAGGAGAAGGCGTCAGCAGATCACCGATCAGGCGAGGCTCTGCCGCGGCAAGCAATCAACTCTGAGATCGTCCTTGGATTTCCTTCGCTAGCTTACTTCGAGGCCCGATTGGACCAATACCAAGCACTGCGCTCGACCAGACTTTTGTGAAGTCCCTCGCATGCTCCGCTCTTCGTCCGGTCAGATTGCGCTTGAAACCTACATGGTGTACCCCGTTTGCAGAAAGAGGTGGACAAGGAGGAGAAGCAAGTGAGGCGCAGCGCCTCTTTCAAAGCGACACCTGCTAAACTCACACCAGATGCCAAGGTCTTCAAGCCGACACTGGGACAGGTGCGTTCTGCTTTCGCGTACCGTCCCTCCCTACTTACTGCAGCAATGCACTCCCGTGAGGGCCAAAGATTTACTGTCTCAATATCATCTTGAGTGTCGCTGGTGCCGCCGCTTCTTTTGCCAAAGAAGAACCCATTTAATCGAAGGTGGTCAATGGTGAGCGCTGTCCTTGTTTTAAGCGTCGAAACTAACGTCGTTGTACTGTGGCTGCCTGTGAAGGTCATTCCAAATTTGTTCGTGGTTCTTAGACTGTCCGCCTTTTCGCGTATTAGGGTCTTATGATTTACCCCTCTCTTGCAGAGCCCAAGAACGACGCCGCGTGCGCCTGTCCTTGGTCCTAAGCGGCGCCACTCAACTGGCTCGGAGGATGGCAGCACCACGGCCACTTCCGACAAGGGGCCCAGTGCAACCCCTGGTGCGGCTTCCGGGACCTCCCAGCCATCTTCCCGCCCCGCCAGCAAGCCCGCCTCCCCACTGACCGGCAAGCCGCCCTCCCCTCGGGTCAACAGAACCGCCTCGCCAGGCCCTCCCAGACCCTCCTCCGCAGGCCTTGCCAAGGCCGCGTCTCCTCGCCCCGTCAAACCTGCGTCTCCAAGCTCCGTCAAAACGCCTTCTCCCAGGCTGAGCAAGCCCGCGACCCCGTCACCCAAGCCGTCACCCACCCCCGCCAAAGCTGTGACCCCGAGGCTGACCAAGCCAGCACCCCTCAGAACCGGGTCACCCAGAGTTGGCAAGACCCCCTCCCCCATGTCAAAGAAGGCCCCAGGCCAGGGTGGAAGCACTCCGGCCTCTCCCCGTCCTGCTGGCACTGCTGTTGCAAAGGTCTCCACCCGCCGGAGCAGCGACACCTCGGGAGCGGCTGGAAAGCCGTCCTCCCCTGCGGCAGCAATGGCCAGCCCCTCGGGCGCAAGTTCCCAAGCTGGAGTAGTCACGAGGCAAGGATCCCGGCCCCTGTCTGCGAGTAAGGCGGGGGTGACCAGCCCCGGGACGCCCGGCACCCCAACTTCTCGGCGGGTGGCCAGCCCCAGGACTGCCAGCACGTTGAGTCCTCGGGGAGTGGCCAGGCCTGTGTCTGCAAGCGCCGCAAAAAGCAGGTTGAGTCCAGGCGCGAAAGTGACACCGAGCAAGGTGTTGCACCCGAAGGTGACGAGGGAGGCTGCAGCCGACGAGAAGCAGCAGACAGGAGGGACCATCACAAGTAGCACGCCTGCCGAAATGGCAGGGACTGGAACGACAGATGACAAGGCGGCAAAGCTGGGCGCTGATTCGACAGCTAACGGTGATGAGCCTAGTAAGGAGCCGCCAGCGAGGTCGGAGATGAGTGCAGACCCGAACGAAGAGCCGCAAGGTGGAGAGAGTGCTTCGGAAAGGGCACAACTGGAGGTTGAGGCGAATACCTCGGAGGTCACAGTGGACGCTCTCGTTCCAGCAGAGGTTGAGCCAAAAGACAGTGTGCTGGCAAAGGTCGAGGCAAACGGACTTGCGCTTCTGGACGCTGATGAGCGGCGTGACGAAGAGATGTCTGTTCAGCAAGGACATGCCCTGTGACGACAGCGGACCACGGCGTATTGCAAACGAAGGATCTGAATATACCATCTGCGATGAGCTGCCTTGCGAAGATAATTAGTAGTTTGAGCTACTAACACTTCTAGGTTCTGCTATGCTAAGAGGATACTTGTCGAGTAGGCTTGAGTTTTGACAGTGTAATTGAGTTGGACAGTGCCGCCTATCTCCTGCTGCTTTGCTTTGCTAAGACTTGTGTACTGGCGTTTGCCCTTTCGTTGTACTGAGTTCACATGGCACACAAATGTTTTGAAATTCGTGAACCTATGTCAACTAGTTCTATACATTAACCTAACGGAGTTACTAGTCAGTGAGCGACCAGAGTCTATCCGAAACTAGAACGTCGTCATCGCTTTTGCGGCTCAGTATACGGGCCCCCTATCTATGCGATTGATCCGGCCACGAATTATACATAGTACCTGTGCATTCGATGTCTCACCGTCATGAAAGCTATAGTTTCTCATCCTATACAATATTCGACGCGTAAGGCTGAGGATCCCTAGGTGCAGCATATATATGCTTACTAATTACAAGTGTGTACAACTTGTGACGCATATATGCTGCATGCGCACCACATGTGACTCGCCCATGCAATACAGTGTCACAAATTCATGAAGTGACTGCAGATACGTCGCAAATATGGCCCCAGGCTTGGGTCGGATCAATGTACGAAGTCTTCCGTTCAAAACGTTGTTATAACAACGTTTTGAACATCAGTGTTTACACTGATGTTTAATTAAACGTATATAGCCCTCGGACGGTCGAAAAGGACTCGTGAGACTCGAGCAAAGGCATGCACCAATCAAGATCATCCTCCCAGCACGATACGGTCAGATATGCACACGCAAACCGAAACTGTAAGCTTTCATTAAGAAGCCAGTGGGTCGAGGCCGTGGACGGTGGCACATTCGAAGTTGACTTGTTGGGCGTCGTTTTACAAATTCATTTGCACTGCAGGGGAACACTAACCCGTATACGCCTTCGTGGCTGTTGATATGGTGCTCGATTATTACAGTAAATCTACAAAGAAGTTTGCAGGTAGAGATTGCTGCATCATTCTACGTGTCCCCAAAGCTGAAGGTTTCGAGAGGACGGATATGTGCCAGCTGCACCATCAAGGCGTGCACACGTTTCTGGTTTTTCGGTCCCCTTGTATGCTTCGCAGATCCTCTCGAAGAAGCTGTCCAGATCCTGCATCATAGGATCGAAAAGGGGCTCGGTTAATCATCACCAGGAATAAAGGCCCAAGCACTGTGTGCTTTCAGCTGGAGTATTTGGAAAAAAATCACCTCTCGCCGACCTCTCTTAAGGCGACTTTAAAGAGCTCCGTCAGGTTGCTTACCTCATACAAGGGCGCCCCGTCAACTGTGACCCAGGGTACGAACCGATGGGGAGGGTCCAAGCTCTCAGTGAGCTTCCGATTCCTGGCCTCAAGCTGTAAAGAGAGCAGGACCAGTTGATTCAAACCAAACGCACAAGAATAAACATGTTCCTTGCCTGACTGCACACAACAAACCTATCTGATACAAGGGACATCCTTCTGATTTTGTGCAGCATAAATTCAATAATCAGCGCATACAATGTCGATATTGTTATGAAGCTTGCCCATCGACGGATGGGGTGGGGAGTGTCTTTGAGGCTCACCTCTGCCCCCTTCTCGCCATCTGCGCAGTTCTGGATCCCAATCACGTCCAGCCCTAGCGCCACTCCGCACTGCGGCCAGAGTTCCAGGCGAGATGCGGCGGGCTGCTGCTCGACGCAGGAGATGAAAGAGAACCAGGAGTGCTGCAAAGAAACGGAGGGGGCCCAATGTGCACGCCAACCTGACGGAGGGCCGCTTTCATACTCTGCAAAGATTCAGAACAGCAGTGCAAGGCTGTGCGACTATGACAAACAAGCACCTGATTCGACTGGCGGTAAGTGGATCTCTGGTGACGCTTTCGCAGTTCGCACATTGAAACAGAAGCGCAATATGATTGCACAAAGCAGGCAGAAAGTTCCAATAGTCAGATCGACTTTCGATTTCATAGTATGGTCTCTTTTGCAGTGTTCCGCAGACCACCTTAAGTGCTCACAGTGTCTGGGTAGAAGTCGATGACGCAGGCTTCAATGCGGTCCAGAGTACACTCGTCCGGTCCATGCTGCAACATGGCACAAACGATTCAAACACCTTCGACGGAAGCTCCCAGGTGGTAGAGAGTTGGCTTGGCATCCCATTGGCTATGATCGCAACGACTGCCCTCACCAGCTTTCGACAAAGAGGTGGCATCCCAATGGCCGCCCCGCACAAAGTGACATCAAACACTTCTGTCACAAATTTGCAGCATGAATTTGAATAGTCTCTCCACTGCAGAAAGCCCGTCAACATCATGGTCCGCTACTTTCATCCCCAGTTGCAAACACTAAGAACATTCGCCACCAACAAGATGACACTTCTACCCACCTGGCAACGAATGCTGCCCCCGATCAATTTCGCATTGCCGTATGGGATGATGGTCAGGGTGGTGATGGCGGAAAGGCCATTCTGAAACATTTGTGTCAATGGCCCGGTGATGAATTCCGCGCAATCCGGGCACAGAGCCTCTGCAGCAAAGATTCTCAATTCAGCAGTGGCCAAAAGTCTTGGTTGGAATCGGATGTAAACCAATCAGCAACGACCAAACATTACAATTAGCCTGGCGCAATCACCAGGAGACGGTGGCACATAGCAGATGGGCATGGAGAATGTCTCACAGCCTTTCATGGCTTGCTGGGACCAGGATGGGGGAAGAGCAACAGATATGCCAGAGTGCAGGACAGGGAAAGCAATAGGGACGGCAAGAAGTAAGAACAGACCACTCTACCTTCATACAGGGTCACATTCACCAAAGACGGGGTGCTGCTCTTAGACAGAAGAACACTAGGCTCAAACAGCTTGGCTGAAAGACGGGCTTGGGCACCTGCAAGATTTTGAGTGTTGTTTGGGTGCCAATTTACAGCGCTCAAAAACCTCATACTTGTCTGTGATACAGAGCTGCAAGCGCTTGTATCCTCAGAGCCAAAGCCAAGAGGTTGTACGAACTTAATGGATGCAGCATTTACACTCAGAAAACGCAGCCAATTCAAGCTGTGAATATACGAATCTGACGAGCTGAATGTGAAGGCTCCTACCGCGCTACCAAGCCCCAGATAACGAGATTATGCAGATAAGAGGCGATTGAAAAACGAAGTGTACAAAACGTCTCGTACCTGCACATTGCAGAAAGAGTGAAATGATGATAAGGTACGGGAAGATGTGCAACATGGTTGCCATTGCCCAGCGTGAGAATCTAAACAGGCGCAGCCCTTCAACCAGCCTTTCGTGCAAGCTCGACTCTGGAGGTGCAGTCCCCAAGTATTTGCCTTGCTGGTAAACCTGGACAACTCAATCGCCTCGACAGCCAAGAAACATCGCCACCATAAGATTATGCACAGGGCAGCAGCACAGCACACGGACCCACACGAACCCCTTCGTCAAATTGAACATGTTGCACTCCAGACCACTGCGCAGTCTGCGCGGGGTCAAGGAGAATTAGTGAGTTTAAACTTTTAACTGTATTAAATTCAGGACCGGGGCCGGGGACCCTGTTGGAATGGGTGACGTGGCGAGGTTTAGGAAATTGACCGGGGCCTTCTCATTTTTGATTGGTCGAATGGAGCGTAGCCCAGGGTTTTGCCCCTGGACCTTGCCACGTCACCAGTTCCGACAGCGTCTTCGGCTGTCCCCGGCCCCGGTTTGGCAATAACTGATTCTCCTTGACCCCGCGCAGACTACTGTTGATCGCTTGTACACAGTGTGCACTCCAGCACCGGCATGCAACTTCCTTCGTTTTGGAAAATCTTGCTGACTTCAAGTTCAACTTCAAGTTTGAACAGTTCCTTGCGCCAATCGAATGCGTTGCGCCCGCGACCAGCCAGGGCATGGGCGCTGCAGCTGCAGCTAGCATCTTCGATTCTTCTCCAATTGGGTTTCACAAAAACATAATTCACTGCCAGGGGCGGTGTCAATTCCCTGCTGACTTGCTGGTGGCATCTGTATCTTCTCAGCGCCTCAATTTGGTGTATGTTGCGGTGGCACACGGCATTGGCCCGAGGCCCGGGCAATCGCTGAAGTTGTATAACCTTGTTGATGAAGCAATTCCAGTACTGCAAGGCCTGTCGTCGAAGCCACGACCAGCACCGTCAGCACCTCTATACTAAGAAGCACATTACCAACATGGAGGCCTTGCTGGCCAAAGCCCGCAAGAAATTGAAAGAAGTGCGGCAGTACGTCCGCAGCCCTGCCCTGGTTAGAGATGCTGACCAGGCCCGGAACCAGCTGTGGTGCATTTTCTGTGATGAAGATGTCATCGCAGGGTCGTCTACATTTGCATGGTGAGTGGTGGTATGACAGAAAGCAATAGACACCTGCTTTACTTTATCCTTCACGTTATAATGTACTGCGTTGTACAAACATATCTGATTCTATCGAATGGAAGTCCCACCTTGGTTTGCAGTGCTCAGTTCAAAGACCTATTTCAAGTTCATCACATTCGCTAGAGTAAGGGGTAGGACAAAGGGTCAATTTCCGTACTTTGAAACTCCCTCCGTAACTATTGGGTGACTCTTGATTACATACCTAGCTGATCATGGCGCTGTAAGAAGCATTTCAGTGCCACCTCAAAATCAATCTCACTCTTTTCTTGGGTTCTGAGCACTTCTCTCCCTCCCATGGTGGCAGTGAAAACCCCATCAAGCACCTAGCCAACCAGAGCCATGTGGAGCAAGTGCGGCTCTTCTTGTTGGCCAATCTGCTTGACCGCAGCCGTCTCGACGACTTCACCATCTTGGAGAAAGACTTTTTAAAGGTGAGACTACAAGTCCTTTCTCTTTATATGGTCCAAGGACCCACCTGCTCTGCATTCATTCCTGCCATGAGTATTTCGAGCCAGTTTCCATCCTGACTTGGCCTTGCCTTAGAGACAGAAAGAGTATTCAATGTACATAGCCCCTGAATTTTTTCTCTTGGATTCAGCATAGGACTGATCCGGAAGCTTTCTGCCCCTGCAGTGGGAGACGCAGTCGGCGAAACTACTGCCCCCGCCCCGTCCCAGCCCTGGCAATCCTCCAAAACCGCCACATGTGAGCATGGCAGTGGCGGCCAATCATATCCTCCCCAACCAATTGAATTATCTGCCGTCTAACATTCGTTGATTTGGCCTTCGATTCTGAATCAGCATTTTTCCATGAGCCCAAAATCCAGTGTGTGCTGCGACTCTCGCAAGCTGATTGTTGGGAAACACATTCCCTGCGGCTGCAGCGGGCAGCTAGCTGTTTGTTCCTTACCCCCCACCGCACAGTTCAGCATTCTGTGCAGCCGCATGTCTCTTCTGCTCCTGCGCCCCGGTCAGCCAACCTGGCTCCCAGCAGAGGTAGCTAGAGGCCTGCACCGCCTCAACCTCCACGAGTAGCCTCCAGGAATGGCTCTGCACCAGAGGACACTGGTGAGCAAATCCATGGTGCTAGCCTGTGCCAACCGTTTCTTAGACAAAGAGGTCGGCCTGGACTTCGTGTCGTTTCAGTGGCACCGGTCCTGAATTTTGTCAAGAGGGTCTTAACTTTCCTTGGTCGCTTCTGGGAAAGACCGTTACGTTGATCTGATGTAATCAAGGACGGTTGCCGGGAAGCTTTTTTCTGTATTCTGCTGGTTGCGAATGCTGTCCGGCCTTGGACAGAATTCCTCCCCCTCTTCAAGCCCCCCTTCTTCTGATTCTCGTTGTGAGGTGACCAGTAATCGCCCCTGTGCAGGTGGCCCACTACTGAGCAAGAAGGACTCCTCCCAGGACTCTCAGCGACTCCAGATTGCCCCGTCCCTTTGATCCTGTTAGGAGACGCCCACGCATGCCGAGAAAGGGCTGGCTTTCGCCGACCTCGTTTCCGCTGGGCGTTCGCGGACCTGAGTTTTGCTGAACTTACTGGCAACTCGTCTAAAGCAGGTCGCATCATTGAAAGTGAGGTGCAATTATGGCGATCCCTTTGCCTCTACTGGGACGCTTGTATCATGCGGGAGTATTCCTGAGCGGGTTTTGTATGCAATTGTGCCAACCATGCATGCTATGGGTGCTAAGTCTGCCCCAGCTCTGGAGACTCGATTCCAACTCTGGTTTTCGCGGTCAGACGTCTCCTTGTGGTCAATCTGTCATTTCTCTGGAAGGAATGTGCCTGATCGTCAAGCTCAGGTGCTGGAAAAGTTTCAAATACTCCATTTGCTCTTCTTTATCCCCAGTCCTGAGCGAGCTGCAATCTGATTGACCCTTTTTATATCATTGCAGATTGACGTGCGATATGTTCAGCCCCTCTGCCAACTGGACATTTGCAGCGCTGTTCCAAGTCGTGGCTTTATGCAAAAAGGGTTTCGTGCCACAATTGAAGCTGTAGGAAAGTGGATTTGCTAGGTTAAGGTCACCCTTCCAGCACTGGTGACAAGCGGAGTATGGCCGAACGGGTTAAGAAAGTCTAGTTCGTGCGCATGTTGCATGTTTCGGAAGGCAGGATAACTGGCTTAACAGCACTCGCTCCGTGTCAACAATGCAGATTTGTGGACAGCGCCACAACAGCAGGCTAGCTGCATCGCACGAACCTTTGCGGCGAGCGGTACGTTTATTAAATGCAACGGCGCATGACAACAGGATCGAATCTTTGGAACTGCGGCGATGGAAACCTTGTTCATGGTGCGCACATTTTGAGTGCCGGCAATGGCCGGCTCAGCATAGTACACTGTGAGCCGCGCAAACAGTAATCGAAACGAAGCTCTGCGCGGCGGCGCCTTTCGAGATCTTCATAGCAGGGGGTTTGAGCCACGAAAAGCTGCCGTTGGCACATAGAGTTTCGTAAAGAAGTTTTTGCTTGGTAGGTTGATCTGCTAGTGTATAAATCTCAGCTGGCACATAGGTTCACTGAACTTCGAAAGTTGTGTGCACATGGCACATGTGCCATGAGAAGCCTACAGGGCGTCTTTGAAAAGAGACCTGGCATCGTCATGCACTGTATTCATTGCACTCTGCCGCACTGAGAGCTGCATGGCTAGTTTTAAGCTATAAATATCAGCATGCAATTGCAGATACGTACGGCCGCAGCTATTCAAGTCATTCAGCTTGCATATGCATATAATCGTCGAGACGAAGAAATCAACTATAACTCCCGAACGGCCGGCGCATATGCGGGCTGCAGGCAGAAGCGGCATTGCAGTTCCTCAATTGCAGCTTAAAAGCTGATTCTATGCAGTTATATACAGCCATGGTGATCGAGCCCGGTACCAACATCGAAAGGCCAGAGCAAATGATCCAACACAATCTTGCACCTGAATCTGGCAGGCGATCCTGCGCTTGCCAGGCCGGAAAAGGTTCGATCTTGAATTCCAACTGCAACCTAACAGCCACCTGCTGAAGATCGGATTTGGCTGAATTGTCGACTTACAATGTTAGTGATCGAACTAGGTATGTGTTCCTCAACACCTTATAACGTCTGTAAAATAGCTGCCTATCATATTATCTACAATGAATACTGCACACTACTTGATAATATACTAGACAAAAGCCCTACAAAGCCAGGTCGACAGACCTTATCGCCTGATTAGATACTTCGAACGTAAAGCAGCAACGTGTCTGGAATTTTTCTAGCGCCTGAGATCGTTGAACAGCCCCTCTACACAAATTCGAGAGTGCTTCCCCAGCACTCGCAAGCTTTTCAGTATCTCGATCGAGGCACCTCCTCCCGTCGCAGCGTTGCTTGGATTGTCCCATGCGGCTCGTCGGTGGCCACAAAAACGTCATCTTCAAACTGCAATCATTGGCCCGAAGATAAGGAATGGTCGATTACAAAAGAGCGAGCCAAGATGACTGTCTCACCACAATCTCGCAACCGAACGAGAGGCATAACAAAAGAGATACGTCTCCGACCCCGATGCAGCTTGTTCAACATGAGCATGCCTGATGTGTCTCGAATGCAGACAACCAGGATACTACAACGTGTCCTGAGTGCCCTTGTCCGTTGAAGACGCGCCGCACCTTGACAAACGGCAGCTTGACCGGCAGGAAGTGGATGTTGGGCATGTTCAGGTGCACCAACGCCACCTCCGGGTACCTGCATCACGAGCACGTCAGCACCACCGCACCACTCCCGGTACCTACCGGAGCTCCTGACAGCTTTCAAGTTCCGTCTGGTTGCTGATCTAGGGCGATCAACGGCCACGCCAGATCAACCTCGTCCTCCTTGGCATGCGTGTGCCGGTCAAGCGTGTCTTGGCTGATCGACCGGGGTCTGGTCGCCTTCACCAACTGCACGGGCAAACCCTCAACAATGCAAGTCACCCGACTATCCGGAAAGCACACAGTCCATGAGTTTGGTCTCCTTGAAAACTTCCCGACTCCCGGACCATTCAAGTTTCCGAGTTGAAGCATGAAGGCTGTGCCTGCCGGCTGCTCACTTGGCGAGGACGGCCTTGGCCATGTGGAAGAGCGTGGCCTGGACGGAGGGGCTAAACACGCCCTTGTCTGGCGGCCCGTACAGCGTCTCGGCCAGCGTAGTCTTGATGCCCTCGAACGTCGCAGTCATATCCGAGGGGAGGCGCGAGTAGGTCCACGTGGAGCGAATGGACGTGGCCAGCATGCGCTCCGACACCGAGCCCAGGGTGGTGTACTGATCCTGGTAAAAGTCGGAGAAGCCAGACTGCAGAAGAAACAAGGGGGTCAGGAGAGTTCGAAGAGGGTTACAGGGAAAAAGAAGAGTTCGGGAATTTCTCTTCCCGAATTTCAAGCAGAAAAGAAGGTCAGGGCGGCACACAACATAGAGTCTGTGACCGAGGCTAGCGTGCTGGGATAGAAATTGGGAAAACATGGGAAGATCAATCAGAGATCGAAGCGCGAGGTACGAAATGAGCAGAGCTGTCAGATCCAAGGTGCACTTGATCAAGACAGTAAAACCAGGCAAGTGGCCAAGGCAATGACTGGGTCGTGAACGAGGACGAACAGACAGAAAGACGGAGGACATATATTTAACCCAAAAAAACTGCCCACGGGTGGCAGAAGCCCCCAGAACGTAGCAACACTTTCAAGTAGGCCGGTGTGAGATAGTCACAAAGTAGAGGCAAAAGCGAGCCGCTGTCCAATCAAAACTGCGCACCTGGCTGTGAAGGAAGAGGAGAAGCAGACATCTGAAATGAAGTGGGCGAGTAGTGGCAACTAGCAACAGCATGGGCGCCCACCTGCGTAGTCTTGGCTACAGTGAGGTCGGCAACGCCTGAGACCAGCTTCAGGGGGCCACTCCGCGGCAAGCTGACCTCCACAGTGTGCTTCGCCACTGCCAGCTGGTAACCTGCAGAAGAGATGTGGCAGTCAGATGGGGCCAGTCAATCAAATCGAGAATGTATGAAGCCACCCCAGAGAATCCGAGACAAGCGAATGAACATCAATGAATTTAAGGATAAGTTGCAGAACAGTGGGGACGCCCTGTACAATTTTGGACACCAGTGCCAGGTGTCACTTTGCAACACCAACTTGCCCAACTTGGATTCATAAGGCTGCCCTATACGATGCGACCACCACTACTTACCATGTTTGTGTGGCTGGCCCTCGACAGTTGCTCTGACCCAGGGCTTCTCTGTGATGGCTACAGTCACCTCTGACACCTGCACCCAAAAGTAGCTCGTAAGGGTCTTACATCTTTGAAAAGCTTCAAAATTCCTTTGATACATTGAATGCCAAGCTGGAACAGAACAACGACATCCTCCCCACCTCCCAGGATCAAAGAAGCCGGTCAGAGTTTCGACTCCAGGGGACCTGTCCGGATGAATTGACAGATCGCGGCCAAGACATCACTTGGGCATCGCAATCCAAAATACGCAGCAGCCCTTAGTCGCGTCTGAAGTGCCTCACATGGCTGTAATTCTTCAAGAAGTGCTGGGCAAGCTTAATTGCGTACTCCTCCGCTGAGCAGCGCTCCTTGCACTGTTTTGCCACCACGTAGACCTGCAAGGGGGGGCCCAGCTTCTATCAAAAGGATCTTTTGTGACATGCACCTTCTCTGTGCAATTGTGTTTTGACTGATAAATGTGAGGACTTTCAAACATATGAAACTTTCGGATAGGGGTTTCAGGATTGATGTTCATGCAATCAGTTGACGTCTGCCAACAGAAACAGTGAATCATGGGTGGTAAAAAATCCCCCATTATGAACTGGCTTTTAAGAAGCACACCCCTGCATCTGTTAACTGCATTCAGCAATCTTGTATTTCAAGTACTGGCCAGCCCTTTGCTTGGAGCTTGCTAAGCAGGCATGTCAGCAGGTGATGCAATTCCATGGATTATGGTGCCAGAAACCAGCGGTGCAGTTCAAAACCATGATTCAGATAATAGAGATGGAATACTGGGGAAAGTGGGCTGTGGAATGTCTACCAAACCAGATCAAAGCAGGTTACACAAAAGGGTACTTGATCACCACGATCAGATCAGATGATCGCCTGGCGTTTTCTGAAAAGGACCTTAGCCAGTCACGGAACATTCCATGTGCTGATTGGTGCAGACCCAATTACACGTCAAGTGGCAAACCAGAATGAGCACAGCGTCAAACACCAACTTCGCAACCACTCAAATCTCTGGCAACTTTATGCTTGAAAAGATTCTTGTCCGCACCGTGTTCTTGCAGGTGTCAGTCGCTACGATGCCACGATTATCGCCCTTGGTGAAGGCATCCTCGACGTCCGAGACCAGGGACACGTTAACACTCCACTCAGCCATGTAGTGCATATTCCCCTCCCGCCACACCCGGCACACTCGCACACGGCTCTTGCCATGCTCGTGGGTAAGAGACAAACCGTCCAGTGCTCCCATGTTCCTGGTTAGCTCAGACTGCTACTCCACAGATCTTCGCTCAGCTGCTGATTTTGCGGCAATTCCCTGACCAGAAATAATGTTGCGATCAGGTTACCCTTTTTGCCAATGGCTTCGATCGGCCAAAAGTTTCGCCGCACTCTAGAAGAAGCAGATTTCGCCTTGTCTTAGCAAAAAGCAGCACATTATATGAATCTGCCACCGTCTACCAAGCTTTCTGTGCTTGAAAGTCCGTGTTGCCTCCTGAACCAGACGCCTCTTTTCGAAATGCTGCAGCTGCAAGCGCGCGTCGTGAAATAAAGCTTGCACAACAGTTGAAAGGGCAAGAAGTTTGTCACGAGAGAATGTACATGGTAGCCTACAGCTAGCGCCTCGCTAAGTACCTAGCGCCTGGAAGAACGACTTCCCTGAGCCCTAGCTATGCAGCTGGTTTGGCTCGACACCTGGCAAAAGAAGAGGACAAGTGAGCATTCGGGGATGGGAGAATCGAAAACTCAGGGAGTAACGGCCGCGCAACGGCATAGAAACCGGCAGCCGCCGGCTCTTTGCATCGACCTTTAGGGCCGGACGGGTGCGATCGACAGATGGATGATGCCGTCTTTCCTGATCAAAGTGACGATCAATTTGCATAGAGACAACTCTTTCCACCCCACTTTTGGCGAGCCATTCGCCGCGACTCCTGTGACCTGTCAAACTTCCAGGAAATCACAAGGTGCCATGTGTTCAACCACGTGGTACCAGTGGGCACCTCTGACAAACAGATTTATGCCCATCGGCCCCGGCCCCTGGCCGTACCACTTGTAAACAGGGTTTCCCACGGACTTTTGTCCCGGCCGGCCAGCTGCCGGCGGCCCCCCGGTTCAGCCGGCTCGATAGGCGGTCTTTGGCTGTACCGGCCGGCTGGGCCTAGCAAGTGCCTGCATTTTCTGCCGGCTAGCAGCCGGCGGGGTGCCTTCGGCACCGGCCGGGGTCCCATCTCGGCCGGCCAGGTCCAGGTTCTCTTGCCGGCTGTGGGAAACCCTGCTTGTAAAGAGTTCAAGACACCGTAGCTGGGGATAGTATCAATCCAGGCCGGCCTGGATCCAGGCCCGCAATCTCCGGATAATCCAGGCCGTCGATAACATGGTCCTGCCGGACCCTCCGAGTCCCGACACCTTTCAGGCTAATATTTTCAGCCGAAGTTGCCCTGGTTCCCGGGACTTGCCAGCCTACTGGAGGCAAACTGGAGGCAGTTCTACCGGGTACTTAGGTCTCAGCTAACAAGTTTAATACCTATGGCCTAGCACTGATAGGACCTAGCCACGTATCACACGGTTAACATTTCAAATTGACGCCAAATTTACGTCAAATGTATTGCACAGGTACAGTGACCGGCTACAGTTACGTAAACCTGATTCACTCAATGTACAGTCACAGTTTCCACTGCGCTACAGTCGAGAGGAGCTGGGTCACATCGTACAGTTACAGTTACAGTTACAGTTACAGTTACAGTTACAGATACAGTTACAGTTATATATTCTTAAAATTTAACAGTGACAGTTACAGGTATCGGTTAAGAGTCACAGCTACACATCAGTAGTACCGGT